ACTCCACCCTGGGGCAATTATCTCGTCGGTTTGAACAATCTCATTATGAAGCATGGTGCTTTGATTGAAAGCAAAGACTCAATCTGCATACAAGATTCAAGTTCCCTTAGCGCATTCGGAATTTCCAAAGTCCTTGTGTTTCCAAATGAACCCTCAATGAGTTTAGTTACTTGTAGATGTATTAACTATTTTAAAACGATGAATTTTGAAGCTCTATAAATTAGTTTAAAGCCGGAGTCATTTATTTATTTTAATGTTATTTTTAATATCCTAGTGTTTTGTGGGTTTTCCTTTTGTAAACCAGAGAAATACTGACCTAACACCAACACTGTTGCATCTATTAACCATATCTCTCAGCTGGTGCTCGCTGCCTAACCGGTTGATCAGCTGATACGAGACTACTTGGTACCTATTCATTAGCCCAGCTGCCTCAACATGGTCTGTAGGGGGGGAGATCTGTAACAATGGCGGAGAAACTAATTAAAGAAAATGAGAGGATTATTTACTCTTTTTACATGAAAGTACCGGATGACCGAACCTTGCTCGGTTAATTGGGCTTAATCGTTAAAACAATATCGTAAACGGACACATTTCATACTAATTGCTGAAATAAGAAACAACTCTGTAATGTTGTACTCAGTAAAAGTGTGCAATTTTAAACAAAAATAAGATACACTTTTATGATCTTGACTAAGTTTAAGTGCACAAAATGTGTCTCCCCTCTAGTCATTGAAACCCATTGTTGAATTGTTTTAGTGCTCACTGATGACAGCAGATAAAAGTATGATATAAACAAAAGCATAATAGTTTCAAATGCCTGTGACAAAGATTTTTTGCTTTTGTGCTACTACTTCTAAAGAAATTGAGATTCTGTATCTTTTTTCATTGCGATTTTAGCACACGGTAATAGTTTTATGCAAATTAAAACCCCCAAATGTAATTAATTTACTTGGAATATTGTTGTAATGATATGATCAAATCTATTTCTGCTCCTTTAATTTTCCGATCTAAAACCCCATAAGTCAATTCTCAGACTTTTATTTACCAAATTACTTTTTTTTCAGCACCATGCACAGTTCCTGCGATAGGCCTACTGTTCCACCAATAAGTTTGTTAAATACATTTAGTTAGAGCATCCACAAACAATCAAATCTTTAGTGTAATCCTTGCTCAATAGATACAACTGATGTTTTTCATTGTACTATATTTTGTAATTCGCTAGTACTGTGGATAGCTTGTTATAAACATATGCTACAAGTGTTTTGCTTACTTTTCCTCGTTATTTTATTCAACCAACACTTTATTTTTAGATTTTCAAATGAGTTGTGTAGCGAAATACGAAGTTTCCTGAGGTAGTGGCTCTCGCCAATCACGTTTTATAGGGTTATACGTCTGTAATTCCAAAATTCAGCCCAAATCCTTCCGTTGGATTTTGAGATATTACAGACAAACAGGCATTGCTCGTATTATAGGATAGGATTAGTCTGACAAAAAGTTTATTAGGCCTAATAAGTTTTGTTGGCCAGGGAAAAATATTTCTGTCAGAAATTTTGATCCATATAAGTTTTGAATATGAGCTAGAATTAGAAACTTACTTGGACAGCATCAAATCCTTTTTTGGACAAAAACTGTTCACATTCATTGGCTATATCTAAATATCGCCACATGAACAGATGTGCGATGACACCACGCTTCAGTTCGAATGTTTTCTGATGGTGAGGATTGGCTGGTTCTTCAAAATACACAGGTTCACATTTTATCTTCTCCGCCTGTAAAATGTTTGGTTTTAGCGAATTTACCATATGGTGTGTAAATTAAGTAACGAAACAAATCTGTATTTTTTTTTACCGAAATAGATAGAAATAGTATATATAGTTCGGCCGCTTAGAAAGCGACCTCCTCCAGCATTGGTTTAGCATTAGCGAGCAGGTCGTTTTCTAAGCGGCCGAACTATAACTTGGTTATCCACCCCCTACCCCCTACCCTTTAGGGGGGTTAAACATTATTTATGTAAAAAATTGCGGAACCTTTGTTAACAATAAATGCCACAAACAAAATATTTCTATCTATTTCGGTTTACAAAATACATATTTGTTTCGTTACTGAATTTACACACTGTACCATGAAATATAAGTGAATATCCCATTTAGGGAATACACTATAAAAATCCTTAGGTCTGATGGTAATATCTAGACTCGGGACCAATTTACTTTTTTCTTTTGGTCTTCCCTTAGATATAAAACACCATCCGTTCATTGTCTGTAGAAATATTAAGAAAAGTATTAAAAGTACCGTTAAAATATAAAAGGTACCTTTATGAAATTAGGCATACACGATTCAAATAAGCAATAAGTTTAAACGTTTTCATAAACAATAATCATTAAAAAAATACCTTTTGTTTGGTTTCTAGATTGTGACCATTTTAACTTTTATATCTTATATTATTGAATATGAAACACCATCCGTTCATTGTCTGTAAAAATATTAAGAAAAGTATTAAAAGTACTGTTAAAGTATAAAAGGTACCTTTATGAAATTAGGCATACGATTCAAATAAGCAATAAGTTTAAACGTTTTCATAAACAATAACCATTTAAAAAATACCTATTGTTTGGTTTCTAGATTGTGACCATTTTAACTTTTATATCTTATATTATTGAATAATGGTAATAATAGTTTGATGGAAATATGCCATTAACATCTTCATTTAGCAAATAAAATTTCCTATAAAATGAAACCAAGTTCAATAAAATTGAATGAGAAATAGCTGAAGAATCACCATTTTAATTGTAAAATGAGGTAAAAGAAGCTAAGATAGTCCAGTTGTACCTCATTGAGCCTCATTAAAGGATATATAACAGATTTTATTTATTTTACAATTAGAAAGTGGTGATTCTTTAGCTATTTCTTGTTCAATCTTATTTAACTTGAAGGTGTTTGATAAGAAATTTAATGCTAAATGCAGAGTTTTCTAGAAATTCTTTTTATATACGTAACTAGCCATTGTTTAGTAATTAAAATAGCTGTCATTTGGAAACACATAAATACCGGCATTTTATAAATGTCCTTTTTACAAAAATAGTCTATTGCTAAATTTATATTTTAAATCAAATTGCATAAAGATTTCTATAATAGATTTAGAGGTATACATTTTAAATACTAAAAAACAAAATACCAGTAGCGAATATCTCGCTAACAAGGCATGTAACAAAAATTGTTATTCTTGATCTTCGTTTATTTTGACCCATAAAACCATCTAGATTTGCCGAAAAACTGGATTTTGGCTGTTTACTGTAAACAAGTCTGTATACAGGACACCCTGTATAGGTATAAAATGGTATTATTTTATCTGATGAAGTTATATAAGTTGAAACTAGATCGATTAAAACTCACCAATAATAAGAACAAGGTCAGTTGTGATAAAGCTATTTGCAGCGGTGTGAACATCATACTTGCCTTGCTACAAATAAACTGTAATTTGTTAAACCATCTGGCCATTACTTGTCAGATATCACATGACAAATTTTGATGGATGATTACAAAAATGCTGCGAGTTGATATTTTGTTGATTTTACCGACAATTTTCTTCACACTCCACGAATTCAGCAAACGAAAGGGCGACACGTGTATAAATTATTACCTGTTTAACCAACAAGCATCAGAATAACAATAAAATATCAACTGAAGTAGAACATAACCTTCTTGGGTTCAAACAATTTCAAATCCTCCAATAGTTCAGATCGAATACCGATTATTTTACTTGGCTCTCTCCTACCAAAACTTAATTCCCGAAGGGCCCGAAGTACTGAGGCAATTATTAGTAAACTCTGGTTTAACAGTGAAATAAATATTTAACAATATAATATTTATTTTTTGATTGCTTTTACAATCGAAATAAGCTATAGCGAGCCATGGTTATTGATCCCCCTGTACTTAACTGTAATCAAACAAATAATATGAAAACGAAAACCCCTTACATTTACATCATATTACTAACTATACAGTAGGACTACTAAACTTGTTTTATTTTAAAAAGATGCGTACAAATAAATTGAATGGGAACCCCCATTTTATATAGGTACCATAAAACCCCGTTCCTATAATCTAAAATTTAGCTTTAAAACCAATTTGAATAAACATAGGTTTAAACACGTTTAAACAAAACTGTGCTATCGGACACACACAGAAATGCAGCTGGTGATTTAGCGATTTAGCCTCTGGGGATATTAAAACAAAAAAGTAAATCGGTCCCAGCTCTAGGTCTCAACACGAGACCTACGGTAATATTCCCTATATGGGAAAATCGCTAAAACTATAATTTCTTCCGAGATAAAACATCATGAAACACTCGTCCAAACATTTTCATAGGCCTACCCCATTATAAAACCAGTATTGTCTAACCTCAGCATTTTTTCAACCACCGGATTCCAAGGTAGCCCAAGTATCGCGCAGACATGATAACAAGGAGGTCGGTGAACGCAAGCACAACGACGCTTTTTACAGACATCGCGCCGATGAGTGCGCATGCGTAGTAACCAGACAGACCAGGTCTAACGCCGCAGAGCACTAGACGATTGTACAGCCCACTAAGTGAAAATGTTCTATTTTGTTGCTCGTCTCATTGATCTCGTTACTCGTTAGTGCGATTAGTAATCAAAGGTATAATCGCCCTTGCGTCTCCGGTAACTATTTAATCACGCCTAGAACCGATTAAACTTACTCGGCACGAAGAATTGTATGATTTAATCACTCTGAGTTAAGTTATGTATAACCGTATAACTCACAACAAACCACTGCAGTTTGAGAGTTTTTTGTAAAAATTGTTAAATGTAATTTTTTGTTAGATATTCATTCAATCAATTAGCAAAGGTAACAGTGTACGGTAAAGTACTGTAGAACAATGCAAGTTTTGAGAGGGGCTACGATCAGCTTGTGCTCCAAGGCGATAGACCAACGATGTTTCAACTCTGTACAAGACTTGGACTTGTCTCGCATCAGTCACGGCCGACGCTGCACTCAACAATGAGGTGAGTAGCCTGTCAAATAGAACTAGAAACAATGAATACATTTAGTATAAACCAATCTATAAAAACCCTCACCACAGCAAACCTACAGACTAAGCAAATTTCAATCTGCCTGATAAGAATTTTATTAATTTCCTTGATTTGACTAATTCTCTATTTAAATCAAATCAGTTTAATGAGTAGCCTACGTAGGTTTGAAGAGGGCATTTTATGTGTAGATTGATTTTTTATGGACATAGTTTCTTATTGTCTATTATCTAATTTTATGCTTTTGAAAATAATCAAGACAGCACGTTTTGTAAATTTGAAGCAGAGTGCTCATTGAGTTAATGTATTTAATGCTTCGGACAGGTCAAAAACCAATACTAAAGCTATTATGAATTCGTTTTGCAAATAACTAAGGAACTTAACTAATGACTAAATAAGGTTAAGGACTACATAAAACTAACAAACAACAAAAATAACAAAAAACTATTAAAGTAGAAAACCATATAAAAACTCAAATACCCCCGCTGCAGCAAACCTGCCGACTAAGCGAATTTCCATTTGTCTGAATTGATTTTCAGTTAAATATATTTTAATAACATTAGGTTTAACGAGTACCTAGGTTTGCTGCTACAAAGAAACTAATAAAGTGTGTTTTTGAGTAAAATATTGATAGCTTAGTACAAAATAAATAAATTTGCCAAGTTTGATCAAAATATATCCACAAACAAGCAAACTACAACATTTGACAATATTTTCCATAAGAATAACATGGGAATTTTAAATTTACAATTTTTTTTAATTTTCTCCGTTACTAATAATCGAACAAAAATACTTTTATATACTAAATTATTTGTTTTTTTTAAGCTCTTTAATAAGGTCTAAAAAAAATCGGGAAATTTTGTGTTTTGAGGGTCAAAAGTGAGAAAAACCAATTTTTACCCCATAAAACCCCCCGTAAAGCCCCGTTTCCATGGTCCGATCGTGCTGGTTCGCGAACTCATTCAAGTTTATCCCGCTTTACACCTTTAAACCAAATTTCATCAAAATCGGACAAAAATTACTCAAGTTATCGCGTTCACGGACGTATATATATATATATAAGTCTCTCTCTCTCTCTCTCTCTCTCTCTCTATATATATATATATATATATATATATATATATATATATATATATACATGTATAAAAATTTGAACGAATGGTGTTTTTGGCCTCTGGGGACATCAAAATGAAAAAGTAAATCAGTCCCGGGTCTAGGTCTTACCGTGCCACCTACGGTAATAGCTACTTCCCTATAGGGAAATTCGCTAAAATCAACTCATGGACCGTGTTTAAAATCCGAAATGTTGGTCTATTTTATGTGCGATGATAGATATCATGTCGTAGTGATAAAAAATTGATATCATATCCTATACTCTTATATGAGCAATGTTTGCTTGCACAAAGATCTCGAAAACGGCTTCGACGATTCCTTCAAATGTTGTAAATAATTTATATATGGCTTAAAAACGTGTTTAATGCAGTTTTAAAACTGCCGGCAATAATCTAATTAGGCCTACGTAAGAAAATGAAATTGGATTCAAAATTTTGTTACATTGGCCTCATGGGTTGCCAAGTAACCATGTTGGTTGAACAAAACAACAAGGAAAAAGTAAACAAAAGACTTGTAACATGTGGTTATAACAAGCCATCCACAGAGTATACTAGCAAATTACAAAATACAGTAAAAAGGGAGATATTAGCAAAAATTACACTAAGGTACTCAATATATATGTGAAATTTTCGATCAAAAATACTAATTATTTAACTTGGCTCTCTCCTACCAAAACTTACCCCAAAGTAATCAGCTGTTTTAATTTAAAAAAAAGTCAAAACGATGTTTATGCAAGTGCAAGTATTGTATGGGCTATTACAGTATAAACGAATGTTTTTTTGCTATATCTCATAATAAGTCATTCCATAAGTTTGAAATGGTAAAAAATAATGTATTAGACAGAAATTAGTCATTTAGATCAGCGCAACCTGTTGTGACTCACATCAACTACGACGAATTTAGTTAAAACTGGTGACAACTTTAAAATGGGGATAGAAAGGTAATTCAAAGGTACAGGTTTTTCTATTTTCATCCCCACGCTGTAAATAAAACATGTGATTGGAATTTATTCCATTTGTTTCGATTTTGTGTTTATATTTCGTCACCAGTATGGAATCCCATCAAGCTCATGTTAATTTTTTTAAATTTCAAATTCATTTTTTGCGCTTATATTTGAGCCTATTTTAATTTTTAAAGGGATTCTGCACATCTACAGGAAAATATCTTTCATTACTAGGACCGAAAGTGGCATTTTCCGGCGCGCGCTCAAGTTTTTGTGTGAGGCGAAGCCTGAGAAGGCTCTCACACAGGTCCAACAGTGTGCGTAGGTTTTCCCTGCGATGCACACAAGCTTAGTAAAAAGGTTTTAAAGAAACATGCTTGCCTATTAATATATAGAAGATGGAAGATGGATGGATTGCTAGGTTAAAATTTCCTTCATAATAAATTGAAATTACACTGAAACTTAAATACTAAAAGAAAAAAAATAGTTGTAAATTAAACGTGAGTTTCCTTTATTTCTTTTCTACCTAAGTAAACTACACCGAACCATAGCTCGGTCCCCAGGTACGTACTATTGTTTAAATTCAACTAATTTGTTGTACAATTTACAATAGTATACCGGACCAGCTGATCAATTACACGCTAATCAACAATTAGCGTTTTATTCTTTACAGTCCGTGTTATTATAGCCTATTAACTTGTTTTAATCTTGTCCATTCATAAACACATTTGTGCATATAGTCTGTTTGAACCTGTCTTCTGGCCCTTCGTCGACCTGGGACAGCCTACCATTGACCGGTCAGCTCCAACTATAGGTTTCGTCTTACAGACTATAGTAAGGAATGTTAACTACCCTCCCCCCTAAACCTTACAAACCACTAGCATTATCCTTTATCAGACCAAAGCTTCCGATGTTCCAATATTACGCAATGCAAGTTTCATTAGTTCCAAAACAATCCCTTGTCCGAGGGCCAGTTGTGATCCGTGACGACGCATTGTGGATATGTAAATATCCCGGGTTGCCTCATAGCCTCATACTCGGGCAACGGCCTCACCAGGCTAGCCTCAAGTCAAGGCCATTCTCACCGGTAGCCTCTCCGCCTCACGCACCTCCTAAAGGTGTCATTATTTAATTACACAAGGAAAAAGACGTTCCTGGACCATTGTTTATTCTTATGACGAGTAATTTAGAAAGTTAAGTGCTTAAAAGGGGGACAAAGTAAATGAGTTGGTTGAAAATATATATTTTTCGTGTTAAAAAAACCGCTTCTGTAAAAACAATAATTAACGGGACAACAGTTCACTGTCGTTTGAGGCCGTATAGATTCAGGATTTACACCATTGCAAAGGTTCTGTTCTGATTTTATTCCTCGGCTGGCAGTTTTTTAGCTTTTGCTTCGTTTTGCGTTTTGCCATTTTTTGTCGCACACTCCGTCTTCACAGTAATGGGGCTCTTCGGTCCACTAGCTCCTTATTGCAGGCGTGCCTCGCTAATTCAGCATCCTACTCCTATAGATAACTCCTTACAAAATATAAATCGTTGTAGCATACAAAAACAGTCATTGACGAAGGAAATTATGAGACAGTCTTTTAGTGAAAGGGATAATAATATTGAAGAATTTGTAGTTGAATTGTTGACTGTGATAATGTTTAGAATTGAATTTGATTCACGTACTGATGACTAGAATTTCCGCTATTGCTTGACATTAAAATAAAAATGCAACTTTCATGTTTAAACACATAGACCATACTGGAAGTGTTCAATTATTCTTATAAACCTATGGAAATGGTCACTTCATTATAATGGCTGAAAACAACTGCACTTCGTTGAAATATTTGTATACACTGAAAAAAATTGTTTTGCTTTCCGTACCTGACAATTAGGCCAATCGCCAATGTTATTGCAAAATGCTGATTCGTCGTAAATATGACGACAAAATATCGCTTAATTTCGAAGCAAGCTACAATAGACAATTTAATACATTCTTGACAAAATCATGTAAATCAAATAAAAGAATGCGATAATTATTAAGGGTTTTCTACTGAGAATAAACTAAGATCTTTTTCGTTGCAATGTTTTTTGCTAAATACATTTTCTAAGAGAAGTGTGTTGGCCAAGGTGTCGTTGACAAAAGGCTACAGGACAGGATGTTGACAGACTGTTGAAACTGCAGCTGATTTCGCAGAGACCCACGACATTGCTTACCACTGCCTTTCTAATCTATTAATTAGGTAGTTAATTCTATGTCTTTGTCAAGTCATATCTTAGCTGTGTTTGTTTTGCTTTGCTCTTGTATACACCATCGCACCATATTGTTGCACTTGTATTTATATCCATCAATTTGTAGTTTTGAAATTGTCGAATGAATTGTTGCATGCTCCATCAATGTCCTTATTGCTGCTAAAGCTGTGGTGTCTGTTCTAAAAAACATTAAAAATATATGTTTGTAAAAGTAGTTAATGACTTTCGAATAGTTAAAGTTGTATCCAGACCCTCTTTCGAGATGAGTTAAAATAACTATACGAATGACATAGCCTACTACCACATGAACAGAAACGGCATGGCTCATCATCATAGACAGATGACGTAGCCGTGACAGTTGGTTTGACAGTCCCATCTCCACCATTTGTTAACCGATTTTATCCATTGATGTATCATTGGAAAAAGCGTGTGGCGTAGATTTGCAAACGGTCTTTCAATTTTGAAAAGTCCTTTGGCTCTGTCCCAGTGGCGTTGAAAGTTCCCATGTTATCCTTATGGAGAACATAATTGTTTACATTATGATCAGCTGTATAATTTTATTGCTGTTATTTATTTTCCAATTCAATGAAACGCATTGAGTACATTTATTTATTATTTGAGTTTGTGTAAACATAACCTCCGAGACGAATCGTGTTAGTATGGTTGTATCTTAAATTTGTGTAACGTTGTTTTGTGTCGCTATGACGGATCGTGTTAGCATGATTGTAACTTAAATTTGTGCATTTATCGTTGTTTTGTGTAGCTATAATTTCTTTATTTGTTGTTATTTCTTTTAAATGCCTCCGACGCGACGACAACGAAACATAGACAGGAGGCGTAACCGTGATAACGGCCGTAGTTATACAGAACAGTGACGCGTAATATGCATCACAGTCAGCACCTGACCCTAATCTCAACTATTAGGTTACAATGCGCCCTAACACTACCCCAAAACGACTTTTCGTTCTCAATTGGCCCTATCAATGACCTGTGTTGTCAGCGAGGTATTTTGCGAAGGAGAAAACCAGCCGGAATGCTTTAGGTTTATCAATAACAACGAAGATCAACATGGTCTGAGTTACACACCGGTAATCTTTGAGTTGACTCTTTTAAACTCATTGTAATTATGACTGTTATTCGTTTTGAACTAACTCCTGTGATACTTTGCAATTGCTAATTTGATAAAGTGATAATTTGCGAATTCGAGCAACATGTACACTAGTTTAAATATCCAATAAACAACTTTCGGACCAGTGACATGCATCTGTTCTTATATTTGTGCATACTGATATCCCACGATATTCAAAGCTACAACACAAATCGTAGCTAACCACGATTGTATCACCAATATTTTATCATAATTTTATGTCCTATAAAAATATTGACTTCTGATTATTTGTCAACAAAAAATATGATCTGAGTGTTCCACTGGTTTTAAAGAATATATCCCAAGAAGCAATGATAATGATAATGCCAGATGTTGTTCAGCTCTTGGTACTAAAACGATGGATCATTGCTGCGATGTTTGGATGTTATTTGGCAAGTGGCACGTGGATGGTTGTTTCTGTAACGCCGGTTTTCCGCCCCACTGGCGTTGATGCAACACTCTGCCTCTTCGACTAAATCTTCTCTGCCAAAACAATGGGTCCCAGGATGTGATGTTTCAGCCCTGCAGGGCCTCCTTGGCATGTTACATTGAGTATACAGTAATACTAAGTGATTCAAAAAAATTGATATTTAAAATCTTTAAACTATGTACAACATTACAGGGAGTCCATGAAGAATTCATTGTTGAATTAAAACATTTAGTTTGCATCTTGTAAATTTGTAGGGATTTCCAACAGCCATGAGTGTTACATAACCTCTAGTGGTTACTAACACTAAAATTAAGTGGTAGCTAAAAGTATTAGCAGAATAAGGTTAGCACAGTTTTAGTTTAATGTGTAAACAATCTGTACATTTTTTTTTTTTTTAAATGCAATTGAAAACCCTCACCTCACTTTAGACAGCATGCACTTTGTGTTAGGTGTGTGGTGGAGTTTCAGTGATCTGTGTCTCTTTGTTACTGACTAAGATCAGCTGATTCATCATTCAGGATTATTTATTTAAAGCCCAGTGATCATAGAAACAGCTGGGTCCGGCTCGGTTCGGAACCATAAAAAAAGCTACCTATACTGACTTTTCTCAGGAAACACTGTTCTAGCACCTTTATTGGTCCTCAGCCTTACCATCATTGGGGATTTTCTCTCACCAGAAGTATCAGTCTGCTTCCTTATAGGCAGTTCTTAATAGACAATTGAAAGAGTGGTAGTGTTTCTTCATTATAAAACCGCACTGCATTAAGATCTCAAAATGAAGACGGTTTGCATTTTCCATTCTATCAAGTTAAGGAAACGATGGCAAGAGAGGGATTTCTTTGGACTTCTTACACCAGTCTTATGGTTTCAACTGCCTGGTTCAAGACTGGTCCTAACTGACATAATTGTTTATGAACTGCTTACTCCATTTTCATGATGTAGAGCGTTGTTAAATGTTCTTCTAAATGCTGTTGTACAAGAGTCACTGACTTAAGTTCACTTAATAACATTAAACATTTAACCTAATCATGATCGGAAAACATGTTTATAAAGAAAACACAACTTGTAACTTAGTTTATTTAAAATAATAAGTAGGTTGTAGATTAGCACAACAATCAACACAGCTGTTTACTTAAAGTAAACAAAACTTTTGAGCTAACAGCTGCTGGGGTACCAATATGAAATATTTAATTGTCTTATAATAGTTTTACAGACAGTTAAAACTGTACCATTATTTTAATTTTATGAAAAAACCTAGTCTAATTTAATTTTTCCCATGTTGTAAATAAATGTAGATAGTATCATACTATGGTGTTTTTATGTGACTGTCTATTACATGCAAAAGATTGTCATGGCACAAATCTCTTGCACGAACCATTACCCATTTAGGCGAGCTGCCATAATGTCTTCCTGTCTCCATGCATTAATTGTTTTGCTATTGTTCCTAGTTCTTTCATAAACATACCCTAATTAGGCCTAAACGTAGTACCAAGTAGGTTTATAGTGACGAAGAGACTTGCCCATTTGAATTAAACAGTTTAATCGAATACTACAGTACCAATTGCAGTATTTTCAAGGCAATTAGTTTTATATAATTTTATTTTGTGGAAAAAATTGCATATGTTGTAATCATGTTGACGGTTTTGTTACAAGCGTTTTAAATATTTATGCAACCGAACACTTATTAAAATAGATTGAATTCAATATAAGCTTATAGAAACTTGAATTGTTACAAAACCATCGAAAACCCTTCATAGTTTTTAATGTGCAGTTGTTTATGTGAAGTAATAGAATCCGTGACACAAATAAAAACTTTACACATCAAATTTGCTAAAAAGTATAATATCCTTACACACTGTATTATGTTTTGTTGCTCATAACTGTACCAAATAAAACATGGATTAAGGTTTTACTTATGTTATTACAGTTGAACCTCGTTTGTACGAACCTCGATAAAACGAATTCCTCGATAAGACGAATTTTTTTTAATCCCCTTGACACTTTCATATAGGTCAATGCTAAAAACACCTCTATACAACGTAGTAATAAAGTTAAAAACCTCCATAAGACGAATTTGTTTGTGACATGGGCTAGGACTGATTAACCTCTATACAACGAATATTCTTAGCACAAAACCTCTACAAGACGAACGTGACCTCTATAAGACGAATTTATCATAATCTTAACCTCCATAGTACGTAGTTTTCAAAACAAACAGAAGCTTGTCTCAACATGAAACCCCCACCCATCCCTCCTCCTTCCTCAGTCATTGTTTGGAAAAACCTTGGAGCGAGGAGAAACCTCTATAAGAAGAATAACAGCAGCATTAAACCTCGATAAAACGACCCTCTTTATTAAGAATACCTCTATAGTACGAATTTTTCCCGTACCCCTTGAAATTCGTCTTATAGAGGTTCAACTGTACTATGAGTCAAAATTAAATCATGCAAGCAACAATTTGTGTCGTATAAGATTCATATTTTATATCGCGCATGAAGTAAAATGGTAATTGGTGTAGGTCGAGGCGGAACCGCTGTGTGAACCTCCGTTACACTTCTTGTGCTTCTCTACAATTATGTTTTCGACACGGTTCTCGGTCAGGTCATCTTCACACAATGGCCAAACCAAAGAAACCAACCTGTCTACAAGGCAATATGATCCATCAAATTGACTGTGATTCATATCAAACTTTAAGCAATATTTTCAAAATCGGATAACTCTTAGATTAAAAGAATTTGTTCCTTTTTGTCAGCGGAATTACTTCTAAAAGACTTTGTGACGAAATGGAATCCCTATTTCACCCTTAGAAATCACTGGCATAAATTTAAAATAGATTGGAAAATATACATTCTAATAGATTTTCTCATAGTTCTCTGGAAATGACAAAAAGAGCTTACCGGTAATTATATTCTCTTTCAAAAGCAAAAGGATACTGCCCAGTAGCTAGATGAGTGAATACAGTGCTTGTCTGATCAGATGGTTGTAGGTTTGATCCTGATAAAAGTCAAAATCTTTTCAAGGGTTTGAAACTAGGCACAGTTTCCCTTGAACATTGGGCATTTAATAAATTATCCTGAATAAAGAACCAAGTGATCTTAGTCAGTGACAGAGCTGACGTATCATTCATTCAATCTGATGGTTCACTAATTTCCGCCTTAAAATATTCACTCCGATGTGTTAGAATGATAAAAGCTTAAACGAATCTAAAATTATTAAGAACATAAGTTATACAAGAATAATTAGCAAACTATTTCTATTCCTCTGGCATTTTCAGAGGGAAAGGTTGAGGATAGGGAGAGCATCAATATATTATAGAGGCTTTTTACTTCACAAGTACAAACTGAAATTATACTAAGGGGGATTTTTTTGTGAAAAAGGAAAGGCCACACTCCAAAAACGGACCCTGTAGATGTGGAATCATATTATACATGTGTATGTAACGGTACATGTGTATTATACATATGGGTAGCTGAGTGATTGTAGTGCTTGAATGTCACTGGTTCGATTCTGAGAAAAATGTGTAGCTTTTGGACCAAGCTGTCCTTGATCATTGGGCTTTTAATAAATGGTCCTGACTAATGAAACAGCTGATCTTAGTCAGTAACAAAGCTGCAAAGATCATAACTCCATTCTACACTCATCCTTCACTCATTTGGGTTGAAATACGCACATAGGTGGTGTCCCCATCTCAAATGACACACAAAGTGTAATTGATATTCATATGACTTGTAGGATAGGAGCAGTGCTTCTAGTGGGGTGTCTACTACTAGGCCTCTGCAATGGTCAATTTGGGGTGGGAGTCCCCTACGCTAGACCTGCCAAGGAGTCTCCGTCCAATGACTTACAGCCTGGCACAGACATCGGACTGGACAGAATACAGGTCAGTATTGCACATCAGTTTACAAACAGAAAATAGAAAAAGACTTATTTTACAGGGGTAAGTTACAATTTGTAAAATGAATGTACAAGGAATATTGCAATTATTTTTAAAAAGAAAATGAGCGTTTCAGGCATAAATTGTCCAATCATCAAGCAAGTATACAATGGCATATTTTTCAACAAAACATTCAACCTTTTGGACTATTCTTTAACAAAAAAGTAAAAAAAAAAAACAAACATAAAAACAGTAAAACCTTACTAACTAATTTGCAGTATCAAGACAATCGTCTGGATTAGTTTACTGGTTATTTTGTAATCTATTATAATAATAAAAAAAAATAAAAAAAACAATTAAAAACGGTACCGGTATCAGTAAACCAAAGACATACACTAGCTTCCCCCCAACATAATGCTGAGAGTAACTATGCTAGTTTATGGGTAAAATCACCAGAATTGTAATAGTTTTTAACCGTAATTTTTACATCATTAGATGTTGTACCATTTTGTTAATAGCCTAGTTTAAATAGCCGAAAGTTAACCTACTAAATTTTTACCAAATTGTTAGCGCGGTTTTTGTGAAAAGCAGATGTTTAGTTGTTTTACGTTTTTTTATAGATATCAAAATTAAAACTTAAAAAAATAACAAAAATGACAGGACATACTATGGATTAGTAGTAACGTGTCCAACCAAAATCTGACCATAAGGTGTTGTCTGTAGCTCTGCACAAATCCACACACACACACAAACCCACCCCATTACTTCGAACACCACTTTTTCACTAAATAAAACAGTTAATTTAGAAATATGTTCCCTTCAATAAGTCAGTGTCTCAAGTCTCATAAATAATTTTTGTTCAAAACCGTTTTTGTGGAAGCAATAAATTCACACAATGGATTTAGAATGATTCATATTCCAAAGGTTCAAGCAAGATTTCATGCTACAGCAGGGCCGTGCCCAGCTTTGGCCTGGTAAAGATATTAAGCCGTGCCCCCCTCCCCTTGAATTACATGTTTGGAGGGGCCCCCTTGGGGCCCTGGCTCCGGTAAAATTGTCCGTAAAAACTGGTCTGAGTACGGCCCTGTGCTAAAGTAGTTTTATTGTGCAGGTAGTGAGTTCAGCTTTGAGAGTGACTCCTCATAGAGACCGACCCCGAGGCAAGCGAGCGACTGTCACTTCATGGAGAAGACCTCGACAGCATCAGTTTGTCACCAAGGAGGACAGAGTTTCTCCCCCCGCCATCATCAGGGTCTACCCCCCAGCCCCCGCCCCCTCTGCAGCCAGACGCAAGGGCAAGAGAATCATCTACTATGCCACTCTGCCTGAGATAGGTGAGAGATCCAAGTTGTAGGAGAAGATAAACTAGAAAGTTTAGCAAACCAGTCTTCAGCAAAATATTGGTTATAGGTCAAGTACTGGTTAACAAAACTCAAGAATAACTTTAGTAGCACATGGCTATACATCGTCGATATGTTCATTTTTAGTAATTGAGTGAGCTATCGGGATATAATGACAAAAAATTACATGAATGCGCAGAGAGATACTGATGAAAAAAAATATTAAAAATTACTAATTTACCCAGTGGTGCTTACCCTTCAATCAGAAGCTTACCAAATTGAGCCTAAGAAAATTAATAAGAACATTTTCATTTTGTGTTTCTAATCTATTGCTGCTGGTCAGTTAACTGTATTTTATATAAACTAACAATAAAATTATTTGATAAATTCTGTTCTACGGACAGTAAACCTTAAATATTTTCATCTTGTTCAGTTCGACCTCCCGGATGGTATGATCAGCGGCTGGACTACTACGACACCAGAGCCTCCAGTCCTCAGCAGTACCGCCAACCCATATACAGCGGATACACAGGCTATCAGGGCTACCACAACAACGAAAACGAAGTCACCAGAGTTCAGTCAAACATCATTGATGTCACTCCACCCAGAAATAGGTAGAAAAATTAATTTAGAATACAAAAATTAAAGGTATTACTTCAATCTTATCTCAGCCACCTTTGTTTCAAAATATCTCTCACCTCAGTAAGAAGTTTGTTTTTTTCCTGAATTCAATAACACACTCTCATTGGTTTAGTCGTACTACATTGTATTAATCATATTTTATTCTCATTGTCCTCTTTTAGTCACAACCATTTGGTTTCATGTTTAAAATAAAAACTTCACCAATATTTTTAAATTTTTATTTTCATAAGGCCTTGCTATGCTGGCATCATCAGACACATAAAAAACCCTTTGGTTGTTCTACAGACATGAGAACACTCTCAACTATTGTTGTGACAACTTAAGACAAAAACCATGATCATTGGGTGAGATTGTTAATTAATTCCATGTTATAAAAATTCAGGAACACAATTAACTTGGAATGAAAGTTCTTGTGTTTGAACCTAAATAAATGTATTTACAATTCAAACTGTTTTGAAAGATTAAAATTATCTTTTTTCAGGTTTTCTTCAACGCCAAAGTTCACTATCATAGACGTAGAGCCTCCTTACAACTACAACAATTACAACAACTACAACAACTACAACCGCTACAGCTACAACCCCTCCTACCCCTCATGGCAGCGACGCCCCTCCCTCCCCCCCTCCTATGATAGGCCAGAGCCTTCCCTAGAGCCTGTTAAGTTGGAGATTCCCACAACTCTACAGTCAGCCTCCAACTCTACGGATAATGACAACTCTACACGCCTCGTCCCTGATCTCTCTAATTCGCCGATCTCTATTCGATCTTCGTCTAAATTTATAACGTAGTCTTAGTTTTATTCTTAGCCTTTAAAAGTTGTAAAATTGTGATGAATTGGAAAGTACTCATTTTGATTCTATTCAAATATTGTTGAAATTATTGTTAAGAACTCATATTTTTTTATGCAATGTTCAATGGTTTAAATTTTAAAACTTTTACGTTTTTTGTCATTTGTAATTTTTTTTACCTATTGTAGGTAAATGCAGTGGCAGAACGAACTTTAACTGGGTACCTCTGCAAAATTCACTCCAAAATCAGGATAAAGTAAGAAATAAATAAGTAGGGTAAGAAACTCTCTCCAGAACATATAAGTAATTTGATATAAATATATATTTTTTTTACAAAATTGTGTAAACAAGTTTTGTAGCCTTTTACTTCTCTATGGAAATTGTCTGGAGGTGTATTAGTTACAACCCTGGGTAGAGGTCTAATTAAGAATGACGTATATGGATACTCAAACCTTTTAATTGTTTTGTTTTGGAGTATCAAAACATAAAATAGTAGGGTATACCATCCCACCTCTTGAGTCCCACCATTTTTTGTAATTTTTCTATTTTTGATAAGGTATGTTAAATTATCTAACTTTTTAAGCTAATAAATAAATGTTAATTTAAGTAACGGTACAGTTTTTGTTTTACACCTCTTTACTTGTCTCAAAGAAATGTGTACTGCTTATTTTTTTGTTTCACCCAACAGAATTTTTTTTTATTATTGAAAATGTAAAAACTACATGAAAGGCAGTTTTACAACATTATACTTCACAAAAGTTTTAGCCATTTGCCATTTTAGTGTTTGAGATATAAAAGTGTTTAACAAATTTATTTTCATAAAGATATAAATAGTTTACGAATATTTAAATTATAAGGGTCCTGCCCTGCTGGCTCTTACTGAAGGTAGAGGTACCCCTTTTTGTAAAAAAGATGTATGTATTTGATTCAAAATTGCGCTTTAATGAAATTAAAACTTTGTGGTCAACTGAACCTATGATAAAAATGCTGATGAAAAGTATAACTGTATTCATCCATTTTCATACGTAACTTGGAGCACACTTCAATAGTGTATCAAAGAATTGGAGGATTCAACCTATAGGATTTGGTTTACATTTTTCATTTTAATTGTGATAATGTTCACTCATCATTTTGTTTCAGTGTTAAAATAGAACAACGATAGCAGAAACAGATTTTGACTAAAATGACTTTAATGAAAATTATCATCACAAATCAAGACATCACCACAAATCACAATATATACTTAACATAAAAGTTTTTAACAGTGTTTAGGAACAAACTACATGGTCTAAGGCTAAATTTAAATGTATATAATTACCCGTGTCAAAAGATTTGTTCAAGACCTAAAATACAAAAATTAATTTAATATCAATTTAATCCTAAGCAATTTCTGTGAAGTTTTTCATTGAGTTGAAGGAGTTACAGACTTGACGTGGATTGCCAAAACTCCGTCTTCAGCACTTTCAGGATTAAACCTTGAAATGAATATATCTGCACGTCCGTCTTTCGAGACATGAACCGTTTTGCCAGAACACCCTGTAGTTGTAACTTCTCCAGATATTATATCACAATATTCTCCCTCTGGCAAGCATGTCTGAAACATTATAAATAGGGATCATTATTAACAGAAACGCATGCTAGAGGTGTTTCATTATAAATGAAGTGTTGCGTTATATCATAGACTAACCTACACAAGTAGACTTCTCATCCCATTGTAAATGTTCAAGCTTGTTTTTTGTGTCTAGTTCATGTCCAGTGACACTGACTGCTAGTGTAGATGAAATTTTGTTTCTATCATTTTAGGGTTAATTTCATGATTTAGGCTTTATTGTTTGGCTTTATAACTAGAGGATGAGTTATTGTTTTGATTAGATCATTTTATTTGGTTAAATGAGGTTTTAAATTACTGAAATAACAAAAAACAAATTGTAAACAAAAACTACCTCTAAAGTGCACTGGACAAAACTAACAATAAAACTGGCTTCAGCTGTTCCATAAGGATGAGAAATCTACTAATAGTCCAGGCGCTAAACGGGTTGAGTATGCACTGAAAGTCTGACAAAATTTGACTTTTGATTATTGTTGGGGACATCTAGTAGATGAAAAAAATCGATGATGTCGCATTCCTAGGGTGGTCACAACTCGGGGGGGAGGGGGGGAAGTTGCGCGGGTCATCGGTTTACGTTTCCACGTCTAACTCACAAACGGTTTATGATAGAAAGGTGGTTTAAGCGTCTATCAACGCCTAAATATATTGTCTTTCAAAAAGGTTATTACAACCTTTCTTCTATCTCTTATACTTTAGGCGCTAATCAACATTTATTGAAAAAAATAAAATTTAAAAATACTTTTAAATGAAATATCGGAAATATTGCGCTTGTTTAGGGCATGTTACAAACTATTTATGGTTAGAAAAACTAACAAGTAGTACAACAACACCAAGTTTACAGAAATCTGTGCAAAAACAACAGAGCTACGTTGATTTCAATAAGAGTAAACGTGGAAAATTCGTAGTAGTACCGAGGCGCGCATGGACGGTACGTAGCCCACAGTCAATATAGGTTTGATGTTGTAAGTAACAATGGGAAAGCTGAATTTTTCTTTGCTGTTAGACCATGTTGAGATGAGTATTTTCCCAAAAGTCCCCACTCCTACCCCTTTGTGCTTTCCTCTACCCCCCCCCCCCCTTTTAGATAAATTTACAGCCTCTTAGCAATTAAGCTATAACTTTAAAACGGGCAAGGATAATAACGCAATCTTTTATTAATCATTTTGATTTACGATTATCTACAAAAAGAATTATTAGATAATTAAGTATTTAAAAAGAATTATTACAGATTTCTGAAGAAGAAGGAGAAGAAAATGCGTTCATTGTAATAAAATATCAATACAGTGTTTTTTATTTAAATGCAAGGAACAATGGTCAAAGACCGTCTGTTTTGTGTTAGACACACTGATTTTGAAATATTTTAAAACAGTTTAAACAAATTCCATGAATCACATACAATTATTCATAAAATAAACTTATTTCAACTACAGAATATACACAAATAGCACTACATACTAATAAAGATCAGATAACAATTGAATGAATAATGACAATTTAAATGCAGCCTACTGAGAATCTGAATTTTTCCAACAACAAACAGTTAATAATTCATAAAACAAACCTGTTACTTTTATAATTTACTTTGATAGATAATTAATAAACAATATTTTATAATTTTTTTAAATTACATAGATTTTTCCCATTTTTGTATTGATATCACAATTCTTAAATTTAATAATTATACTCCATTATCAATTCCCACCCTTTACTCCACGCCTCTTTAAGCCTTGGAAGAATTTCCAAGTGCCCGCCAATCTTTGCCATTTAAAAATTCAAAAAAACTCATATTCATTTAAATATAACTTGTTAGACCAAAATTAACGTATCTTTTTTTTAATTGGACATTCTGCTATAAACGGGTACACGTTTCATCCCGGTTGAGATTACATAGTGAACATACATAAATTTTATTTTCCATATAGAGTTAACTTTTTATTAGACAACCCCCTTTATTTGTAAAAAATGTTTTTAGGGATGGTTACGAATAAAAAAAATATATCCACCATTTTCCAATATGGCCAACAACTTTGTTATTTCTTATGGAATACGCTGTATTTTAGTATTCTTTTAGAATTTAAAAGCTATTTTTTTATTCGTGACATTTTTTCTCTAAACCTACCCCATTTAGGAGTTACAGCGTGGTATATCTAAAAGAAAGGCTTGTGGTGTACATTCGGCATCCTGTAGCTCATAAACGAGTTAGTTGAGAGAGAAAGTGCAAAGAATAAATAAGTCACATATAAGTCCTCGTTCAAACAAATATATAAAATACGTTGAAAAATACTGATTTTGTTGTTTTAAAAATGGCCACTATTTTCAAAATGGTAGCTTACTTTGATATTGAAACAATTTATTTTATGTTTTTTTTTAAATGTAGATGTGATTTGAAAACTTGTTTATTCTTTGTATTTTCGCTCTTAAACTTACTCGTTTATGAGCTACAGGATGCAGGATGTACTCACAAACCATTTCTTCTTCGATATAACTCATAAACAAGTAGCTTTAGAGAAAAATGTCAAGAATAAAAAGGTTTTAAAATTGTGCGTTTACATTCTAAAACAATCATAAAATACTGGGTATTCCATAGGACTAACAAGGTTGTCAGCCATATTGGAAAATGGGAAACATATTTTTAAAATTCGAAACCACTAAAAACATCTTAAAATAAAGGGTAGTGTCCCATAAGAAGTTAACTCTATATCTCATAATAAAAAAGTTATCTATTGGTTCACTTTAGGTGAGACACCCTGTACATAATAAAATGAGGCTCTGGCGTACAGCAGCAATTGCACGATATTCATTCATATGTATCCACTACAGTCTGTATATGTACTGAATGAGCTACATAACGTTAATATAATCTATATAAAGCGGCAAATTAAAATACAAAAACCATAATATACGTAATTTTTTTCATTGTTGCGGTGCACAAAAAAGCCAGAGTCCTGTAAAATCAATATACTGTACTATCTATAACCACTATATGCAAACAAATTGTTAATAACTATGAATCATTTTAAAATGTAAACTATGCACCCCAAATTTTGTATCAAACATTTTGTTGTGCGACCTCGTATAAAAAATCTAAAAAGAAAAGTAGCATAAATTAATCCGTAAAAATTATTTTTTTATGTTTAATGATATTTTTTAACTATGAATAGTTAGGATACCATGGTAAATACACTTTTTGTAGAATATCGTAACGCAAAATGATTAATAAAAGATTGCGTTATTATCCTTACCCGTTTTAAAGTTATAGCTTAATTTCTAAGAGACTGTAAATTTATCTAAAAGGGGGGGGGGGGGTAGAGGAAAGCACAAAGGGGTAGGAGTGGGGACTTTTGGGAAAATACTCATCTCAACATGGTCTAACAGCAAAGAAAAATTCAGCTTTCCCATTGTTACTTACAACATCAAACCTATATTGACTGTGGGCTACGTACCGTCCATGCGCGCCTCGGTACTACTACGAATTTTCCACGTTTACTCTTACTGAAATCAACGTAGCTCTGTTGTTTTTGCACAGATTTCTGTAAACTTAGTGTTGTTGTATTACTTGTTAGTTTTTCTAACCATAAATAGTTTGTAACATGCCCTAAACAAGCGCAATATTTCCGATATTTCATTTAAAAGTATTTTTAAATTTTATTTTTTTCAATAAATGTTGATTAGCGCCTAAAGTATAAGAGATAGAAGAAAGGTTGTAATAACCTTTTTGAAAGACAATATATTTAGGCGTTGATAGACGCTTAAACCACCTTTCTATCATAAACCGTTTGTGAGTTAGACGCGGAAACGTAAACCGATGACCCGCGCAACTTCCCCCCTCCCCCCCGAGTTGTGACCACCCTAGGAATGCGACATCATCGATTTTTTTCATCTACTAGATGTCCCCAACAATAATCAAAAGTCAAATTTTGTCAGACTTTCAGTGCATACTCAACCCGTTTAGCGCCTGGACTATAAGGGAGTATGCTTTATCTATGGTTACATACACTGTTACCACGCAGAAAATGCAAATTTAAGTAAGTCGATGGCTCAGTCAGCAGCGCCACAGACTTCGGCTCCAAGGCAGTGATGTCGTGGGTTTGGGTTCAGATCCTTGTACCTACCACTACTTTTGATCAGTAAACTTAACCTTTGTACTGTATCGGCTAAAAAATTGTCGATAATTGCTGTCTTACGCGTTTTTCTCAGGATCGACTGGTATGCATTCAAATACAGACAGAACCTTAATGACTTAACCTCTTGGATTTATCTTTGTAAGGGAAGATCTTTCTTATATTTTGTACCTCATTTTTTGTGGCTTAATCTTCTGAAAATTATTTGTATCTTTGTCTTTCCAAATACCTCTAGAACGACACCATATAGGACTTCATGTTTGGGTAGTGCATAAAACAAATGTTAACTAACACAAGGGTTTATGAAATAAGTTACTACCTTACACATCACTGTTATCTAAAACTTACCACTTTTTAGATTACTATTTAATTGTAAAATTTAGCAAGATCTTGTAAATAAAGATTCATCATTTTGTGCACTAAAAATGCAGTACCAAAGATTGTAAGAATAGTTATCCAAATCATAAATTATCTCATCATCTTGTACATTGTGTATTCTCTGTTCTTAAATACTCGTACAGATCATGGCTGCTGGCCAAATTGTAACACTCGAATAGTAATATAAAAATACAGAAATATCTCATGTTAAAAAATTAAGAGGCATTTGGATCAAACAATATTAATATTAATACCTGGAGTGTACGCTTCAAATCGTAGTCTTCTAAGTTGAAAGCCACAAATCCTTTGTTCCCACGACAAAAAGCTATTTGATTTTTGCCATTGTCCCACCAAGTTGTTACTGGAGTTCCTGTATAAACATCAAACTCAAATTGTATTTGAATATTTTAATAGATATTAAAAGTGGGATTTTTTTTAAAAGAAGGAGATCCTCAATAAATGTGTTTTCTTTTGGTAGGTTCATCCAAATGACGTAATTGTTCACAAGCTCTAAATTTATAGCAAGGGAAAAGGATTGGCTGGGTTTCCCTTGCCGTAAATTTACTTTCCCTTCTCAATCAGTTCTACCTTTGCCCACTACATTAGCGAGTGTTTTGTTTACAATTTATGTATTTCTATTATTATTGAAATCAGCTGTTTTCCAATTATTCCAATTATTTTCCAATGATTCCAATGATTTTGAACAATTTCAAAATAAAAATGTGAACAGAAATATTATGCACCAACATTATATCCTGTGTTTTAGCTTATAATGTGAGTTGAACAATGAACGTAACTTTGAGCTTTTATTTATGTTGATTGGAAATTCAATATTTTTTATTTTCCTGAGGGCTGTTGTTCTGTTTGTAAGTATTTTTTGCGTTGTGATGAAAAGTATTGTTCATAACTTGTTCTGAATGTGAATCCTGGCACTTACTCCAATCATTCCCTCCCTCGGCTTCCCCTTTTACGTGAAAATAACTCACATTTTTTTGTGTTCCTGTGAAATGAAACTTGAGTTTGGGTATCAAATACTATTATATACGGTTTATCAACTTTCTCCTTTGGTTATTACGTGTTATCCGACTATACCTTTGACGACGTTGTGGAACCCCACCGCGTTGTATATCTGACGCCACCGATGTTGACACACCCAGCCATGGGAACAGACATTCTTGTTGATTGGACGTGGGGGCTGACTAGGAGGGCCTTGGTCGAATGAGGAGAACTGGTAACCGGAGAGAATCTTGCTAGTGTAATCTCCCTTGGCTAACATGAACACCACTGCCATCTGTGGGGAGTGTGAGGAAATGTAAGTTAAAAGTTTCGGTTAAACCAATTAATCTTATTTCTTATAGTAGATTGCTGGGGTTTGAAATTAATTTTGTGGTTTTTAATGCTTGAATCGATGTTCAAAAAGCGTAATAGATTTGGTTGCCTCTTAAGATATAGAATAAAGATAAAGAATAATATAAACTCATAACACTTCCCCTTTTTATAAAAGAAATAAACAGTACTTTTAGAACAACAGTAAAAGAAACAAACAGTACATCTTACATGTGAAATTGAAATAAGTACATTTTTTTAAAATCAACATTAGCCTAACATTTTAATAAAAATTCAAATTCATCTTACATGTGAAATTGGACAAGTACATTTTTAAAAGATCAACATTAGCCTAACATTTTAATACAAATTCATCTTAAACATGTGAAATTAAAAGTACATTTTTAAAAATCAACATAGCCTAACATTTTACTAAAAATTCATCTTAAACATGTGAAATTGAAACAAGTACATTTTTAAAAAATCAACATTAACCTAACATTTTAATAACAATTCAAATTCATCTTACATGTGAAATTGGACAAGTACATTTTTAAAAAATCAACATTAGCCTAACATTTTAATAACAATTCAAATTCATCTTACATGTGAAATTGGACAAGTACATTTTTAAAAAATCAACATTAGCCTAACATTTTAATACAAATTCATCTTAAACATGTGAAATTAAAAGTACATTTTTAACCGACTTCCCCACTACCAACAAAAGGAGGAGGTTCTCAATTTGTCTGTGGCGATGTTTTTTTTTTTTTATGTATGTTCACCAATTTCTCTGTGATTCTTTTACCGATCAGTGTGGTTCCACCACCAAAATAACCAGGAGAGTTTCTATTTGGTACCTTATATATTATGTTTAAGTATAATATTAGTTTCGGTGAAAAATTCTGAAAACCTTAAATATTCAACATTTATTTTGTTTACATTTGTGCAGATTGTTTACATTTGTGCAGAGAAGGCAATAAATAATAATAACATTCCTACAGCTGTTAGTTGAAACCATTTAAATGAAGCTACAGACAATTCTTCATGAAACAGTTGCTTCATATTGATCAATAAACTATTTCTTGCCATGGAGCCTAAATTAATTACATTGAGAAAAATGCTTTTTGTTTTGGTTACTGTTGTATTAAGTCTGTTCTTCTAGTCATATGATTTATTTGTGTTTAAATATCTTTTGTTGACAGATGATTTTTGTAAACATGTTTTTGTAAACATTGGTTTAGTTTTGAAATAGAGTTTGTTGAAACAAGATGTGTGTTTAATATTCTTGGATTAGAAATAGAACAGTTACTATAGAAAATGTATTTTAACGTTTGACCTGATTTGTGTATAAAGTAATTCTGTTTTTAGTATTGAATATTCTGACTTACAAAAACATATATGTTTCAGTGAATAGCTGTATGATATCGACAAATAAAGGTGTATTGTGAAAACCAAAGCATTCGTAAAACAGGTCTAAATATAAATTAAATGCAATTATTCCTTACACGACCTAAGAAGTGTGACAGTGCATAATCGCCAATTGTCTTAAAAGTGTTAAATATTTTAATTACTAAACATGCATTTGCAGATGTGGAATGTTTATTAATATTCTCTACCCAGTTACTATTATCATATCAGTACTATTATGCCTGCTTCGGAAAGTCCTAGGGGAAGATGATTTGCAATTTCGACTAGGCTATTTCTTGATCAAACAAAACCCCCTACATGACTTACACCACTTTTAGCTGAACCAATCTTTCATATAATATTTTCCAAAGGTACTATACGTGTTAACGACCAATTTTCCACTTTTGAGAGATTGTTTAGTGCTGGTAGCTGAGGAATAACTTTCATATTGTTCCAAAAGGCTTGAGACGTTACTGTATTTCTTTTTATAATGTAGAAGTACACCGATTGCAGGAAACGATGATGTCTGACATTTCAATGTGTATCTAGAAAAGACAATTAGTTTTTCATCAGGCCTAATGTAATGGACAACTCTTTCTTTCTTAAGGAATATCTAAAAATGTTTATTTTCATAACCAATAATTATGTAACCTCAACAGGTGACTCAAGCAGTTTTAAAATAATTATTGTTCTGTGGAACTTTTGATTGTTTCAAACAGTTTTGCTTATCAAAAAACCTCAAGTGATTGAAATATAAAAAATTATACAGTCACTAAAAATCATGAAATAATTTCTTTTTGTAAAAAAATACAACCGACTTCAAACGCTCTAAAAAGAATGAAATAATTTCAATAAAGTAAACTTTTGTATTAGGCAAGCTCACGTATTCCAAGTCGGCGCGGCTCAAACTGCAAATATGATTGAAATTAAATATTGTGTGTGTATTTTGAAAATCAATAAATTGTAGCTGGATAACATAAATATATAAAAAACATACTGAACTGTTTTGTTTTATATTAAAGGAAATATTTTCTTGTATTTTATGTTTACTTCAGAATAAATGCATTATGAAAATAACACACACAAATGTTCTATATGAATAGGAAAATAATTTAGTTTGATATTATGATAGGGAAAAGAAGCTAGTTTAGTATTAAAACGTTACTTTTCAAAGTTAGAAACATTTAAATGCGTTATAATCTTTTTAAAGATACTCGTTAATACCACTATAATGCCGATCTCTGATTACGGTAATAAAATAACACTTAACGCATAACTATGAAAAACACATGCAGATTAACACCTTTAGTTATAGATAGTCACCTGCAATATGGACACCCTCTTTCAATTTTGTATCAAAAATCATTATAGAGCCGCGCCGACTTAAAATACGTGAGCTTGCCTAATACAAAAGTTTACTTTATTGAAATTATTTCATTCTTTTTAGAGCGTTTGAAGTCGGTTGTATTTTTTTACAAAAAGAAATTATTAAAAATCAACATAGCCTAAAATTTTACTAAAAATTCATCTTAAACATGTGAAATTGAAACAAGTACATTTTTAAAAGTCTAGATTTACATTTGTAAAAATAGCCTAACATTTTAATAACAATTCAAATTCATCTTACATGTGAAATTGGACAAGTACATTTTTAAAAAATCAACATAGGCTAACATTTTACTAAAAATTCAAATTCATCTTACATGTGAAATTAAAAACATTTGATACCGTACTCAAATTAATTTATCTTTAAAATTCTAACCTGCAGAACCAAATCAGCAAGATATTTTCATTAATAAAAAATAAAAAAATCTGTGACCATTTACCACAAATACTTAACTAAACATTTGGATTCTAAAATAAAAATATTCTTCCATAAACAACAAGAGCTTACATCTCATAATCTTTAAATCTTTCAGGTTGTCTGATAACTCTACCAAACCTAGAATTAGGCCTACTCGGGCCAGACCTAACAGGCGTCTCATGAACAGTGGTTGTAGGATTAGGTTCAAGATTCTTACTAGGACTAACAGAACTCGTGCGAGTAGATGGCACTGAGTTACTGTTGTTTGATAGCAAGGGAGTAGGCATAGGAATTCTGTTTTTAGGCGAACCAGCTTTGGGTAACAGTGGCGACATAGGATAGGTAACACTAGGATTTACTATTTGACCAGAATATTTACCAAGTGGTCTCTTAATTTTCCTTAATCTTAAGTGACTTGCATTCCTCTGTAAAGTTGAGCCGCTATGACTCAGCCTAACATAATATGAGCTAGGGGTTTTGGCTAAGCCTATTATTCTACCTGGTTCCCACACACGGGAGCGAACGTTGTACACATTTACCTCATCCGAGACCTTGAACTCTCGCCTAGGGCGACTATTTCTATCATGATACCATACTGCTTTTGTTTGCTTCTCATATAATAATTTATTAACAACATTTCTATCGCAAACTTCAGGTCTCAACAAACTAGCCGATATTGGGATTTTTGTTCGCAACCTCCTAGACATTAAGATTTGAGCTGGTGACATATTGCCTACAACAGGTGTGTTACGTAGCTCCAAGAGAGCAATCTCGACATCTTTGCCATCCTCACTACATTTTTTAACCAGTTTTTTGATAGTTTGAACGGTTTTTTCAACCTGACCATTAGAACGGGGGTACAACGGGCTACTATTTACAACTTTGAAATTCCAGTCCAAGGCAAATTGTTTAAACTGATATGAACCGAAGGGATTATTATCACCAATGACCTTGGCTGGTATACCATGAACTGAAAATACTTTCTTGAGCTCACGTATCACATCTGTTGTGGTCTTAGATTTTAACTCAAGGCACTCTGGCCATTTACTGTAGTAGTCAATTACAACGAGGAATATTTTACCTCCATATTCTGCAATATCCACACCTACTTTGTTGAAAGGTAGATCAGGTATCTCATGACACATTAGGTTATCTTTAGCATTTGCATTCATAAATTTCTGACAAAGAGTACAACTAGACACAAGATTATCAATATCTACAGACATACCAGGCCAGTACAACAGTTGCCTAGCTCGAGACTTTGTTTTTTCACACCCTAGATGACTTTCATGTAACAGATCCAACATGGCTTTTCTTAAACTACATGGGACAACAATCTTATCATTTAAAAATACCAGGCCATCGAAAACATACAAATCACCACGTTTACCAAAGTAAACCTTTACACACTCTGGTAGAGACCTTTTGTCTGAAGGCCAGCCACTTTTGAAATATTGTTTTACAAGGCTGAGAGCTGTGTCATTGTCTGTTGCTTCTCGAAATTCTACCATTTTATTTTCTGATATTGGTAAAACATAAGGTACCACATTTTCTATTACATTTACACTAACACAATTCTCATTGGGCTTACAAGTGCGAGACAACACGTCAGGAACAACCATATTTGTTTACCAGGACAGTATTTCAAAACTAGGTCATACTTAATTAATTTTAATTTTAACCTCTGTAACCTAGGTGATAAAATTTTGTGAATTGGCTTTTTCATCATGGACTCCAAGGGTTTTGAGTCATTATACACAACAAATTTGTTACCATACAGCAAGTTGTGGTACCTAGTAACAGCAAATACGATACTAAGTAATTCCTTTTCCACTTGAGCATACTGCTGCTCGGTATATGTCATACTGCGAGAAGCGAACGAGATTGGCCTACCACATTGCATTATACAGCATCCAAGACCATTTTTACTAGCATCAGAATGGACCTCAACCGGCTTAGAACTATCATAAGTCGCCAAAACAGGCGCTGACGTTATTGCTTCTTTTAACTTATTTACACACTCTGAGTGAACAGGCAACCAAGACCATTCAATATCTTTTTTTAACAATTCACGCAAGGGACTGGTCAAGGTAGACATGTGAGGGGTGAATTCACGAAAATAATTAAATAGGCCAAGCATGGATTGAAGTTCCTTCTTGCTAGTAGGTTCCGGCAATTCTAACACAACTTTAATATTACTTTCATCTATTTGTACACCCTCCGAACCAAAGCATAGGCCTAAAAAATTCACCTTATTCATCTTATATTGAATTTTCTTTGGGTTGAACTTAACATTATTAGCTCTAGCCCTACCTAGTACTTCTTTTACAATAGTATCATGTTCCTCAAGGGATTCAGCTGCTACGAGCAAGTCATCAAAGTACACAGTTACTCCATTGATGTCAGAAAAAATCTGGGAATTTAGTTTCTGAAACATTTGTGGTGCTACCTTTAACCCAAAAGGAAGTCTTAAGAACCTATAGCACCCATACGGGGAACTAAAAGTACACAAGTGACTGGATTCTTCATCAAGTGCGATATGCCAAAACCCATTTTTCAAATCAAATACTGAAAAATACTTTTTACCAGACAGTTTGGCTTTGATTTCATATAGTGGGAATCATAAATGGCTCTGGAACTAATGCTACATTTAGACATTGTGGATCTAGACAAATTCTTAAAGTTTTATCACTTTTCTCAACTATGACAATGTTACTCACCCAATTACATGGTTCATTGACTTTTTTAATAACTTCACATCTTTCCAGTTCGTTAAGAGTGTCTTTCAGTTTCGGCATAACAGAATACGGAATTCTACGAGGAGGCTTAACAACTGGCTGTACATCAGGATTCACTTTAAGACTATGCTTACCTTTAAAACAACCTAATCCTGAAAAAACATCTGCATTTTGGTGAACAAAACTCTCCTTCGTCAACTCTTCGACAGCATTTACCCTTTTTATGAGACCTAGTTTAACACAAGTCCCAAGTCCAACAATCGGGATACTTTTGAGATTGTTTACGATTATGAAGTCTTCCTTAGTTGTAATGTTTTTATATGTACAATTTAGACTGAGCACACCACAAGTGTTTAGTTGAAAGCCACCAAAAGATTCCAATTTTACATTAGATTTGACTACAAAGTCCAATAACTCAGAGTCAATTTGTTCAATAACATGTTTAGGTAAAATGTTGATTTCAGCTCCGCTATCCAGCTTAAAGTTAATGTTTTGTCCATTAATACACAAGTTTTCAAACCAAGCAAGTTTACATTGATTGTTAGATATGGAATCAATCCTAAACTCTTCATCGTCATACACCAGTACATCATTAACTTGTTTAGGCCTATTATTCTTATTTTTAAAACAGCCTACAGAGAAGTGATTCATTTTACGACATAAGTTACAAGTTTTACCATAGGCTGGACACTGAGCTGCTTGATGTTTGGTGTTACATTTCTTACACAAATATTCAGTCCTAGTCTGTGAATCAAAATTTTGCTTACCGTTACCACTTGAAGGCCTATTGAAATTCGAACTTTTACTACCCGTGAGAGAGTACTTTTTAAATTTATTATTGTTCGGACATCTTGAGTTACCACGACCCACACTATGTAAGGTAAGGCATTTCAAAGTGTTTGTTCAGAATCATCTCATGAGCAGCCAGGTGCTTAAGCCTCTCTTTGGTGATAAATTGTTTCTCAATCTTATTTGTTAAGCTCTAGCCTTCAAAATTTAGAGGGTGGGACAGAATGTGTGAAACATAAGAAAAGAAGCTTTGGAATCATAATACGTATTGCCCTTCATTGATAAAATCCCATTTCACCCGTTCTTTTCTATTTAAGATTTAATAGGATTTACTAATACAATTTTATTTTGAGCAACTCATGGCAACTATGCCTATAATATTCTCAAAGACAATTTATGTAAAAATTGCATTTCAATAACGCCAATAGCCAAATAATTTTATTGAGAATTTTGAACTTTTCATTAAATTTTTAGTATTATGCAACTAAAAAAAAATATGAATTAATTACCTTATACGCTCTTGATTTCTTGTAGTTAAGAGTGTTTTTGTCATCTGTAGTCCGTTCCGTGTCATGATTATCAATAAACACAATGCTTTGTTGTTCAGGCAGAAGATTCCACTCTGTGCCTGGTTCAAAACTAAATTATGAACAATACTGAAAGCTGTGAAAATAACCCTATTTTGTAATAATTCAACTGAATATTTTGTTTGATCTAAAACATAATATTAAAATGATTACAATAGCTATGCTTGTGACATCTAAGATTTATTTGCTATGCATTCACAATTTCATTATGTACATGAAAAATGACGATAAACTTATATAATACATAAGATACTTTTCACTTGACGGTAAAACAAATTAATGACAAAGTAGTGGTGATTTCATATGGCTGTTGAAAAATTGAGTAGTAATTTTAGTAATATAAGTTCTCCTAAACTAGTTTTCACTATAATTTTTTAAATACGTGTATCTACAACTGAAGGCAATAAGCATGATGAAATAGCCGATATTGATGATTTGAACCCAAACCTAATACTTATTTTTTCACAAATCCTTTTTAAAATTACAATTATATTATTATTTAAGTTGGCATTTAAAAGCACAATCACCACTATAAAATCATAAAATAATTTATGGTTTTAATTTTTAACTAATTTACAAACACATTAAAAAACATTTAATTAAAATAGTGTAAAATTGTAAAAGATATTATACTAACAGAACCTATCTTAACACGTTCACTACTGCAATAGTACGAAATTTTCCATTCACATAGACCAGCGACGCACATATGCGACGGCCGATTTCCACCCATAGACTGCCGTCGCTTGGTCTGTGGATATGATGATTGGTGACGTCATATAATAGTTGGAAAAACTGGTCTTTACTTTTCTGCATCACTGTATGTATGTATGCAGTATGTAGGCTGCATTCTATGTAGCTTTTATATTTGTTCAGTTATAAACTGTTCTTGAATAATCTGTTTATTATTTTACTTACTTTCACCTTAAAACACAAAAAAATTAACCGTCGCATATATGCGACGTTTAGTCTATTTCAAGAAAACTATGATAATTTTCATTATTGTCTTCGCTGTAGACCGGGCGTCGCAAATATGCGACATTATAAAAGGTTATAACAAATACAAAAAATACCCCCGCCGCAGCAAACCTGCCGACTAAGCGAATTTCCATTTGTCTGAATTGATTTTCAGTTAAATATATTTTAATAACATTAGGTTTAACAAGTACCTAGGTTTGCTGCTACAAGGAAACTAATAAAGTGTGTTTTTGAGTAAAATATTGATAGCTTAGTACAAAATAAATAAATTTGCCAAGTTTGATCAAAATATATACATAAACAAGCAAACTACAACATTTGACAATATTCTCCATAAGAATAACATGGGAATTTAAAATTTAATTTTTTTTTAATTTTCTCCGTTACTAATAATTGAACAAAAATACTTTTATATACTAAATTATTTGTTTTTTTAAGCTCTTTAAAAAGGCCTAAAGAGAAATTGGGAAATTTTGTGTTTTGAGGGTCAAAAGTGAGAAAAACCAATTTTTACCCCATAAAACCCCCCGTAAAGCCCCGTTCCCATGGTCCGATCGTGCTGGTTCGCGAACTCATTCAAGTTTATCCCGCTTTACACCTTTAAACCAAATTTCATCAAAATTGGACAAAAATTACTCAAGTTATCGCGTTCACGGACGTATATATATATATATATGTCTATATATATATATACATATATAAAAATTTGAACGAATAGTGTTTTTGGCCTCTGGGGACATCAAAATGAAAAAGTAAATCGGTCCCGGGTCTAGGTCTTACCGTGCCACCTACGGTAATAGCTACTTCCCTATAGGGAAATTCGCTAAAACAAGAATAATTTATTTACAAACACGATTGAAGCGTATTACAATGTAAATGATAACTGTTTACAGGTTTTCGCCCGTGGTCTGTGTGTACTGTTATCCAAGTAACAGCCGGTCTATGTGTAAGATTCAAATGTATACCTCGGTCTGTGGCAATGACCGTGGCGTCGCATATATGCGACGCTCATTAGCGAACGTGTTAAGTTAAGTAACTTTGATATAATCCGAACCATCTGTTCTTGTGAAAACTAAAAAGCAAAATCTGCTTTGTTAACTTAATGATCCCATTTAGTGAAAGTTTACGCTCACTAAGTTTTTTATATCGACTGACTAAGGTCAATTTTATGAATGGATTTGTCAGAAGAATCAAAACTAACCAAAATTCCTAAGCCATTTGAGATCATTCTTGCCCTGGAAGCAGCGCCCCAACTCATCGCCCAACCGGAAGTCGGTAACCAATCCTAGTGGAGTGTACTCCTCGTACTTCACTCCCTCTCCACCTGTCAACGCATGAATCATAACTATTGTGTCTTGAAGTGATTAGAACTAATAATTACTTGAACTATGACTTGAAACTATCTACAACTGAATATTATAAACATGGTACCACAAATCCTAGAAAAATACCGGTATGGATCATAAACATAAACAAATGACTTTGTTGGCGCGAATCCTATACTAATAGCGTTAACATAGGTTTTGTTAGTTCCATTTTTAGCAATGTTAAATAATGTTCATTTTCGGGCCAAAAACATCGTTCCTTTATGTTTATGATCCATAGCGGGTCATTTCTAGTATTCGTGCATGGTACCATGGTACACAATAAGTAAAAATCACAGCTGTTTCAAATAGTAGGAAAAACAATGTGTCAAAATTAAGTATTTTTTGCGTAGACAACCCCTTTCACCAATTACTATGATAAAAGTCCTCGGACTTTGCCCCACAGGCCATCAAAATCCCAATGTAATTCTTATGAAGAAAAGATTTTGTTTACTTATACAGATGAATAATTTGTATTAATTAATTAGAGCTGTTTATACTTTATAACAAACATATGATACACACAAGAGCGTTTGTTTTTAGAGTGAGTTCGTTTTCAGTTTCGATAAATGGTGTGGGGTGATTGATTACATTATCTTTGAGTTGACTCGGATTATTTAAAAGTCATCGGAAATTATGAATGTTATTCGTTTAGAAATAACGCCTGTAATACTTTGCAATTGCTCGAATTCGAACAACAGGTGCACTAGTTAATTATTAATGGCTGTTTAGTGTTTATATGGATTTTGTACATTATTTGTTGTATCCTGCGCCTGTAGTAAATTTGCAATGATAAATGAATACTTATGGGGGTTCAGAGATTTGAACAGATTTTTACAGACCTCATCAAACTTCAAACTTCATTAAACTACAAACCTTTATCAATGACTTCCTGGTATATCAGAGGTTTAGTTTTTGCCGGAAAACCTTGTTCTGTGTTCAGATACTTCAGTCTTTGGTAGATCACTGACAAATCGTTAGGGTTCATGTGTTTGGCAGCATCTATTCTGGAATCGAAAATAAATACAAATAATGACACATAAACAGATGTACTTTTAACAGGAGATACCTTTTTATTCATACTTCTGCCTAAGAAAGGTCTGAGGAGTGATTCTCAATAAAATGTTAAACATCATCACACCCTTCCAAGGATGGTGCAGGGAAATAGACTTTACGATCCCCTCAATCTCCCCGTACTATCTAGCCAGACGTCCTCTTTTAAGTGTTTGTTGTTGTGAAGATCGAATATGGCCTTATTGGGGAGAGATAGACAATGAAAAAGTCTCTACAGCTTTATATCATGTTCCATTGATGAAAAAAAAAACGGATACAAACACAAACCAAGCAAGCAGCCTGGTGCGGTTAACAACTAAACAAACAAATTATAGATATGACTGACGCCAAAAAGAATCATATTTGGTACTATAAGAGGAAAAAACCAATTCAGTAATATATGTTATACGGTACTAAAAATTATTTGGGTTACTCTAAACAAAACTTGATTATCACAACTCAACTTGGCTGTTCTTTTTTCACCCAACTTTTCTTTGATACACAAAGATTTTAACTGTTTTCAGCAATCATCATTAAATTATAAAAATAATCATGTTAAAAATACTGCAACGTCACAATTTTCCAAGTCCACATACTAGGCAATCAGCTTGTTGAAGACAATTGTTTTTCAATAGTTCATTCTATAGCATAAAGTAATCTATTATACCTAAAAGCTGAAAAGATATTTCATACCTGAAACCAGCTACTCCGATATCTATTAAGTGGTTTAAAAGCTTCACAATCTTCTCTCTGACAGACTCACGAGACTGGTCCAAATCATGCAGGCCAACCAGTTCACAGTTTCTTACCTAGTAAAGGAAGAATAAAACTAAACTGCTGTAATTTATACTGTACATAAACATATCAAATTGTTTTAAAACTATATACAAAGGTTGTATGTAAATTAAGAACTCCATCGAGAGTAACGGAAGCTAACACAAATCCGAGACCAAAGTTGTGTTCCTTACTTAATTCATTATTTAGCCATTCTCACACCTATGGAACAATTAGTCCCAGCAAAGTATTTGAAAACCATATTTAAATACTTCTTTTTTTGGACTGTTAAGCGAAATTGACGCTCCTACCACCTATATGGATTGTGTTGTGTCTGAGTTGTCTTTAAATTTCTGTTTCTTTCAGCAACTGGTATTGTCTATGTCTATGACCAGTTGACAGATGACAATAAAGTGTTTTGACGCAGAACAAGTGTCTGGGGTGGAGGGAATTTGGAGGTGGTCTTCAACTTTTGCATAGGCCTAATGTTTTCCATGGTGTAATCCAACTACTGTTGTTCATCGGTCTCGTTTGAAGCAGGGACTAATTAGGGGAATTTTGTTTCACGATATTAGTTTCAGATTTGAACTAGCTGGATTGGCTGTGATTGGTTTCAAGGGGGGGCTATTACTATAGAAAGCCCCTAAGAGCCCCCCTTACTGGACCTTGGAAATATAAATTTAAAAATACACTTTGTCATGAAGACGTAACGGAGGTTTTTGGAAACAGTTCTAGACAATAAAAATGGCTTTAAAAATAGAAATATTTTCTCCCCGTTATCCCCCCTGACAAGGTCCTAGACCACCACTGCTGTAACGGGAACTTTTTGGAGACCTTTATTCATGGACAACCCTAGCAGATCTGTACAACCAAATATTTTTGTAGATGGAAGATATTATAGAAAATAAATATATTTTTTTAAATAAATTAGATGGAAATTAGACTTTTACGTCTCAAAACCACATTCATCATTAACATTGAAAAAAGGTTGTGGATTGGGAGAGATAGTTCTATAATGATACAAGATGAAACTCCATAGCAAAACAATTGTCTCTTTTGTCATGCACACTATACATTACATACCTCTCCTGGACTTTTGTAGTTATTGATAGAGCACTGAGGCTGATGAAAGTCCTCTCTTGTGTACGGAACAGCTGGGTAAGATAAATCTCTGGTGTTGCATGTTGAATTTCCCACACCCCGACAGTTGTCCCTGTTCCCTGTCATGTGGTTGAACACTACATCGGCAAACACCCTGCAAGTAATAACTCTGTTTTAATATTTTCCAATTTTCATAGAAATAAATCTTAGTGTCTATTTTTAGAGTTACTTTGTTTGATAGTCTAATTTGCCTCTGGACTGTTTTTATACAAAATATTATTTATTATTTGCAGTAAAAATGTAGTCAAGCTAGTTTCATTCCCCGTGCGGTACCGGGTTAGAATAGCACCACAGCCTTCTCGGGCTTGTCGTAAGAGGCGACTAAAAGGGTGACCGACGAACTCACTGGGAGTCCCTGGGAGTGCCCCTGTTGTGTTGCAGGGGTTGATGTGTGCTCTGCACTGCCGATGGGTATTCTTAGTGGGTCGTGAGAAGCCAGCCACTTCGGTCCTTGGTCAGGGAGTGCGGCATGGATGTAGAGGTCGGGCTCTGCATTGCGACGGGCGACCCCCGGCACGTCAGGTATCTGGTGCTGGGCAAACGGAGGTCAGGCCCCGGGGAACTGGGGTAGGGGTTTTTGTCCCCGAGGGTATACCCGTTCCTGACTGATTCCGGGCCGCTCCTTGCCGCACGATGCGCTGGAATAAACACGATGGATTTAAATAAAACCCCTCATAACACATTTTTGATTAAGAGCTCAAATGAGCCAGAAAAGACGTTGGAAGTGGAGCGGAACGCTTTTGTCCGTAGCTCCAAGGTGCAGCGGTCGCCACCACCGAAAAACGTGAGGACATCTCCCCCACCTGCCACCTTCAAATGCACTAAGGAGTCCCCCCATTTAGGAGCTCTTTCGGCAAGTGGAGCTGGGAATGGTGCGGAAAACGTCGGAGATGTAGGTGTCGAGCTGGTGTTGCCAGCAACTCTCCCTCACTCTGCCAGTTCTGCTGTAGGGATGCCGGAGGAGCCATTCAAAGCACCGCTGAGGTCGGAAGGCTCTGAGATGGTACTTCTGCGTCAGGAATATCTTGACGCAGAGAGTGACATTGAAACCCGGCTCCAAGACATGGAAGCTACGATCAAGGCTATGCTGGACACCTTCCGGACCCAGAAAGCCGTAAATCAAGTGGTCAAAAACGGCATGGCCAAACTGGAGGATGACCTTGGCTTCGTTTTTGCCTGCCGGGTGGTGAGTAAGGCAGCCATGGAGAAGATTGCCGAGAAGGTTGTGTCTCTGTCTGACGAAAGAACACTGCCTTCTAAGAAACGTAAAAGGCCTTCCACATCGGACAGTCCTCAAAAAAGAGAAGAAGGCGTCCAAACCAAAAGGACCACGGTAAAGGCCAAGGCGACTCAGACTGACCTATTGTCTGCTGTGCCCAGATCCTTTTCGGACATAGCTGCAGCTCCTGCAAAGAGCCAACAACCACAGCTACCTACGACCCCCCTTCAGGAAAGTTCCCGAAAGGGGTCAGTCGTAGAGACACCTGGGGCTGCGTGGGAAAAACGTCGTTCCCGAAAGGAGAAGAGGCAGTTGAGGCGGGCGGAGGTCGCCTCTATAAAGAATGTGGCAGTGAAGGCACAGCCGACCGGCGTGGCCCAAACTGGGCCCGGCTCGGTCTCTGCTCCGAAAAAGTCCCGGCCAAAAAAGCCCAGGACGGAGGCAATCCTGGTCAAGCCCTCAGGAGGGAGATCTTTCGCCGAGGTCTTGGGTGCAATTAAGGCCGGGGCTAAGCCAGAGCAGACCGATACGGTTGTACGGTCGATTAGACGAACCCGGGACGGGGACCTTCTCCTTGAACTGGGTAAGTCGAAAGACAAAGCAGCCTTTACTGCCGAACTGAAGGCAGCTGTTGAAGGCCAGGGCACCGTCCGTGCTCTTGAACCAAAGACATCAGTCGAGGTTCGAGACATTGATTGTGTGTCGACGGAGGTTGATGTTGTTGAGGCCCTGAAGAAAGCTGTCCCCGAGCTTGGCGGGCAAACGGCTTTCCTTAAGGTGTGGCTCACAAAACCGAACAGGAGTCAGCAGCGGATGGCGGTCGCCGAAATGGCAGACGCACATGCCACGAAGGTGCTGGGACTCCAGCATCTGAGAGTCGGCTGGGTCAACTGCAGGCTCAGACGGAGAGTGGAAGTGAAGAGGTGTTTTAAATGCCTCTGTTTCGGCCATTCCTCCCGAAACTGCAAGGGACCCGACCGAAGCAAGAACTGCCTTCGGTACGGGGAGGTCGGTCACGTCCGTAAGGACTGCCAAGTCGAGTCCTGTTTCCTTTGCAAAGAAAATGGGCTCGCTGACAAACACTTGAAGCATATAGCTGGGTCTGGACAGTGTAGTGTATTCAAATCTGCACTACAGCAAGCGAAAGTCCTTTCACGAAGATAAGAATCCTTCAGTGCAATCTTGAGCGATCCAGGACGGCTGACGCACTTCTATGTCAGCTTGCCCTAGAACACGATGTCGACGCGCTCTTAGTCAGCGAACAGTACCAGTACCGTGATAGGGACCCATCTTTTTGGTTCCCTGATAGTCTTGGTACTGCTGCATTCTGGGCGCGTAATGCAGCGAAAGTACAAGTACGGGGTCACGCGAAGGGCCGAGGTTTCGTTTGGGTTCGGTGCCGGGATGTCACTTACTTTAGTGTCTACCTCACTCCCAACGAGGCCATCCGTGAATTTCGTGAGAAGATAGACCGCCTGGAAGAGAACGTGCGCAATACCACAGGACACGTCGTCGTGGGTGGGGATTTTAATGCTAGGGCTGTCGAGTGGGGAATGACCCTCACCAATTCACGGGGCAAGTACATTCTGGACTTTGCTGCCAGAGCCGGACTCGTTGTCGTCAACGAGGGAAACACGCCAACTTTCCGGCGCCCTGGGATGCGGGGAACGATCCCAGACATAACCCTTGCATCTGAGTCCCTTTTGCCAAGGATCAGAGCCTGGAGAGTTCTGGAGGATTACACGGGCAGTGACCACCAGTACATTATTTTTGATGTCCTGGATAGTCATCAGAGACAAGTAGCCGCGTTTCGTCAAGTGCCCGTTCGATGGAATATTAAAAAATTGGACGTGGCAAAATTCAATGAAGCCATCTTACGAGGAGCACCGGTGGTTCCCCCCGCAACTAGCGTGGCTCATGCAGAGGTGTTAGTTACATCCATGATGGGACTAATCGTCTCCGCTTGCGATGAGTCTATGCCTCGCGGAAGATCCCGGTGCAACAAGCGACCTGTGTACTGGTGGACTGCCGAGATTGCGGAATTGCGTCGGTCAGCATTGAGAGCCAGAAGACTTGCTACCAGGGCCAGAGAACCTGTAGACAGACGTCGTAAGTCGGATGCTTACAGAGTGGCTCTTCCGAAGAGAGGTCTCTTCGTCGAGCCATCAACCGGAGTAAACGTAGTTGCTGGGAGACATTAAGGGACGATATCGATTCCAATCCGTGGGGCTTGGGTTACAAACTGGTAACCAAGAAACTTGGCACCCGCTCTCCACCTTCCGTCATGGATGGGGCCACTATGGAGAGGATAGTCGAGTCCCTTTTCCCGGCTCACACGTTGCGCCCACTGCGGGATTTCGGAAGGGTGGATGACGTACCACTTTTCAGTCTTGGAGAGGTGGAGGCGGCCGTCCTATCCCTGAAGAACAATAAGGCTCCTGGACCCGATGGGGTACCCGGCGAAGTTCTCAAAAAGGTTTTGACTATTAACCCCTTGATCCTTTTGCGCATGTACAATGCCTGCCTAGTTGAAGGAGTTTTCCCTTCGTGCTGGAAAACAGCTAGTCTTGTGCTTGTTGGGAAGGGGAAGGGAGACCCAGACCTGCCATCCTCTTACAGACCTCTGTGTATGTTAGATACGGCTGGAAAAGTCCTCGAGAAGTTGATACGTTCCCGACTGAATTCAGCCGTGGTCGCTGCGGGGGACCTGTCCCCTCGGCAGTATGGATTCAGGATGGGGCGATCTACGGTTGACGCTGTTGAAGAGGTGAAGCAAGCCGTGATGAGAGCTGAGGATTTTAACCACTACTCTCGAAGGGTTGTGCTGCTCGTCACTCTCGATGTGCGAAACGCATTTAATTCGGCGAGGTGGTGCGATATGCTGGATGCTCTGGAGAACACCTTCCACGTCCCGGCATACCTCATGCGTATCATAGAGGATTATCTCCGGTTCCGCCTCCTCTTGTATGACACTACAGAGGGCCCACGGACGATGAGTGTCACTTCCGGTGCTGCCCAAGGTTCCATACTCGGCCCGGACCTCTGGAATGTCGCGTATGACAGCCTCCTGAGGTCTGAAATGCCTGAGGAAACTGTTTTGGTTGGGTACGCGGACGACGTTGCAGTTTTGATAGCTGCACGTAGCGTTGAGCTGGCTCAGCTAAAGCTGAACCGAGTTATGCGTACTATAAACGCATGGATGACAGACCACGGTCTCTCGCTTGCTTTGAGCAAAACTGAGATTGTGATATTAACAAAAAAACGGATTGACACCATCGTGCCGTTGAGGGTAGGGGCCGTTGAAGTCCAGACCGTTCGTTCTGCCAAGTACCTTGGGATTATGGTTGACAGCAAGCTTAGCTGGCGGGATCAGATTTTCCGTACGGCGGACAAGGCCGCTAGGGTGGTGTCCTCTCTTAGCCGGTTGATGGCCAATGTCGGAGGGCCTCGGTCCAGCCGTAGAAGGCTGTTAATGTCTTCTGTCCAGTCCGTACTCTTGTACGGTGCTGAGGTGTGGGCAGACGCTCTAAATAAGGAGGTATATAGGATGCGGCTTGCCCGAGTGCAGCGTCAGGCAGCACTAAGAGTTGCATCCGCCTACCGAACAGTGTCCGAACCCGCCGTCCTGGTGGTTGCTGGAGTCATCCCCGTAAAACTTTTGGCGGCGGAGAGAAAAGCAATTTATCAGCGCCGTGGGGAGGACCAGGCACGAACAGAGGAACGCACCCGCACCTACCAGCTGTGGCAAGAGAGCTGGGAACAGGAGACTCGGGGACGCTGGTACAGGCGACTGATAAAGCAAGTCCAACCTTGGGTTAATCGGCGGTGCGGAGAGGTGGACTTCTACCTCACCCAATTTCTGACGGGTCACGGCTTTTTCCGGTCGTACCTGTTCAGGATGGGCAAAGCCGTGTCACCCGATTGCATATACTGCCCAGGCATTCCCGATGACGTGGAACATACCTTTTTCCACTGCCAGCGTTGGGAAAGGCCCCGCCTGGAGGCTCAACAGTTAGTAGGACTGCTGTCGGTGGACACGGTCATACCGATGATGACGGAGGGTGAGGACAATTGGACCTGTGTGTCACATTACATCCAGGGCATTCTCCGCGCCAAGAAGCTCGACCTTGACCGGGATGCGGTGTAGGTCATAAAGTATCCAAATGCCATAAACGGTTGTGACGCGAAATTCTAGGGGGGGAATAAACTAATATTCACCTAAGTCAGGCTAGGCCTACCCCTAGAACTGGACACACTCAAATTTCTTCCCCGGAGCGCTCAGAAGGAGCCGAGAAAAATCCAGGGGTCGATACGAAGTTGTCACGGCTTTGACTGATCAATTTATTAAAATTTAATCGAAGGCTCAGAGCTCTAGAAGCGCTCAGGAAATCCTGCAGACGCTCAGTTGGAGTTATATCATCCCAGCCTTCGTAAAAGTGTTTTGGAGAATTTTGCCTAACTTTTAGAATGACTCTGTAGGGCCGACGAGTATTCAATCTGAAGCCAATGTGATTCAATTACTCGTAATGAACTTTAAAATATTTAACTAAAGGTCTAGGTAAATAATATAGAATCGAATATAATGTAAAAGCAATTCCTACAGAGTCGTCGGGGCCTAATTAATATAATTGGACGGATAATTTAACGTGAGTGGTTTAAAATAAATTTAATACTAATTTTTGTAGCTGATTATTCAACTCAGCCTGCTCCCAAGACTTGGTTCTTTCACCCGCCAAAGACGGGGTTTAGAACGTAGACGACAAGTCTCGAGGTATTAAAACGTCGAATCGACTGGAGTAACTTAAGTAATAATTTAATCGTGAAACGAACTGAATTAACGTAATTTAATAGCCAATTGGTTTAAAAGAGCCGAAAAATATCCACCGCTAGTCACTGGCAGGCAGGAACTGGCGGGTTTTGTACGAGTCGGCGAGAACTAAGTTAATAGAATTCAGAAAATTATAATCGAACGTAAACGGATAAAATAAATGGCAGACGAGTATGCGTATGTTAGAAAGAAAGTAGGAAAGTCTGAAAACGTAGCTAACCTGAATCGGTATCGTATGGCGAAGTTAATTTCGTTGTGCGGAGAGGCTTCTCGTTAACGAGTCGACGGTCGAACAGCGAATAATTCTTGTCCGGCTCAAATCCCGATTTCCTCGGCCGCGGCTCAAGCGCTGCGGTGGCGATTTCGGAAACTAGCCAACAGCTGATCGGGGATTCGCCTGTTGAGCCGGTCTAGTTGTCGTCTGTCGTTGGTCAACAAACACCATTTTGAGGTTAAGTGATGTTGTAATCGGCGTTAAATATTAGTAAAATCGGTCGTTTTAACTTTATTATGTGAAACGGAGTGCTATAATGAATAAATATATCGTTGTGGGTGTGTTTGTGTACTTCACTGTTATTAAAAGTAGGCCTACGTTCTTTGGCCCATAGCCCAAGCTATGGCCAACACATAGGCCTAGGAGTAGGATGTTGTGGATAAAAATCGGGTAAGTTATGGTGTTTGTTGACTATCAATACGTTTTTTACCCCCCTTAAAATTTGGTACCTCACACGGTGAGAGCCCTGAGGGCTTAGGTAACATGTTGGCCTGACTTGAAGTAATGTGACAAACAATTCCAGGTCTGTGTCCAACAGAGTAGAGGGGGTTTTTTAGTGAGTAGTCTGCGATAGATTCAGGAGTCTCACACTACAGGCTGGCTACCTGTGTGCGTAAAAGCATTTTCCCTCCTCTCCCTTAAAAAAAAAAAAAAAAAGCTAGTTTCATTGCCAACGCACCATTATCACTATTTTAATGTTTTGACGTGTAGCAGGATTTGATAATGTTGCGCTTACTGTTAGGCTAGCCAGCATTTTCTAAATTAAAATTGAACTAGAGAGGTAAGAAATCAAATTTTGTATTCTTTAAATCGTTTAAGTGAATTATTTAACCAAACTAACAGGCTAATCACAGCGTTTAATTGAAGTACGATTGCATAAATCATAAAAAGTATGATTGAAATGTTAACTGCTTTAGAACTTTTTATTGAATTATAAATATTTCAACATGATTATGATCATATACTTTTTGAGTCTTTCGAACGCATTCAATATACAAAGTTGTTTGTTTTTTTCAAAATGGTTATTTAAATGGTCAAAGAAGACAATGTATATTGTACAGCGACTGACCTGACACCAACACGGTTGCACCTTGTTAACATATCTCTCAGCTGATCCTCATTTCCCGAACGGCTGATCAGCTGATACGAGACTACCTGGTATCTCTCCCACCACTGTCCTTCCACCACAAGGTTCTCTGTAGGAGGGGAGATCTGTAACAATTACCCACAGTTGATACACTATGTTCATGCTATGATTCCGCTATGTCCAACTATAGTCTGTATGATGGAACCTGTCTCCTGACCATTCATCTACCTGGGGACTAACCAATGGTTTAAGGCCCTGGCAAGATCCAGGTAGATATGAAGGGTCAGGAGACAGGTTCCATTATACAGACTGTAATTAGGATAAATACATGTCCAGCTGAGAATAGTGAGAATATGTGAACTTGTTTAATAATTTCAGCCAATAATGTAAAGCTGAATAGGTAGATGGTTCGCCAAGAATATTAGAAGTTCACTGATTCAATTTTATAAAAAAAATTACTGTATTTGTACTTTAGTATATGGAGTATGGTTTTTGTCGTATGGGAGCTCAAAAGATTAATTACTTACTTGGACACCAGCAAATCCTTTTGGAGACAAAAACTCCTCACATTCTTTGGCTATTTCGGGGTACGACCACTCAAACAGATGTACGATCACACCTCTCTGCAAATCCAGTGTTTTCCCCTCCGCAAGGTAGGTTACTGCAAGTAAACAGGCAACGGCCACTGCTGTCTTCATGGTCTGTGAAATTTGTTATTTCAAATGTTCCTTTATAGGCTAAATAATAGTACCGTACTTAACGTCTGTTGCTCAGAATTTTCCGTAACATATAACAAATTGATAGAATTCTAAGCCTACAAGTTTACAACCAATTGAAGCTTATATTACTACCGAGGTAATAAATATTAATAAAGATGTTTGCCTCAAAAAATTTTATTGGAAAAATGTTAAGAATTTCATTGGAAAAAGTTTAGTAAGCAATAGACATGTATGTGCAGGTCCTAACCCACAATATTAAACCATCATGATAGTAAGAAGTTTTTCTAATTCCTTAAATTGAAGGTTTCTAAGGTTAAAGTTTTAAATTGAACATTTAAAGAGAACCAATAATCCTGGAATAAAACAAATTATAATTTTTTATTTCTTTGAGATATTTTAAATTTTATTCCACTATGCAGTGCTTTTAAAATTGTGTTGCTGTAAAAAAATTAAATTTTTCTTTCTTTTAACTTTTTTTCTCACAACATTTGAAATTAGCTACTAGTTTATTGCTATTTTTCTATAAAACAATGACAATTCTCATAAGAAATATATGAATAAAGCATTGCTAAGTTTAAGATTGTTATTTTAGGACTAGCTGTGTACCCGTTCTACGCACGGGGATCTTATAATATTCAGTTGAAACCTTCTTATATAACGAACAGCAGTTGGTTTGCATATTTTAAGATATGCTGGCCAAACTATTATACATAGCTTCATTTTATGTTGTTTTTTGTTGTTCCAGATCGGTATGACAATCAATAACAGGTTAAATTACCTCTGTGTCTGCCGGTCGATCCTATAACGGTAGGCTTACTTTTATTTTTACTATCTGATCTCGTTTGCATGGCTCAATCACGTCCTGGTTGAAGTTCGTTCGCTACGCTCACTCACCTGTATGTTGGAGCTCGTTCGCTGCGCTCACTTTCCTTCAGGTTAGCTCGTTCGCTACGCTCACTTGCCTTCAGGTTAGCTCGTTCGCTACGCTCACTCGCCTCCAGGTTGCAAATTAGCTGTTGTCATAAATGTAAAAGAAATAATAGTGCTAGTGCTGCACCCTGTTGGTAATCCTTGTAACTTTAATGCTATTGAACATCACAGAACAGAACAAACTTGTTTAATTGAAACAGCTGTTAAGATTCAATAATTTCATTTCTCATAAGGTTAACATGGGCTTCCAGAAATTCCACGTCAAAAATCGACAAAAACTTGATTTTCAAGGGTTTACTGTTAAATATCTAACTGTCTCATATTCGATGAAATACGTCTAAAACCATCTCATATATGTATAGTATTTGGAAAATAAGTTTCAGGCGGGACAGTGCTATAGTTATTGAGGAGTAGTTGTAATAAAGTGCGTATTTTAGCGTTACCAAGAGAATGACAGATAGACAGACAGACAGACAGACAGACAGACAGACAGAAATTGAGATAAGGTTTGATTCGGTTTCTCTGACCTATGAAATGTAAAAATAACCAAAAAGTTCATTATTCTAAGCAATGTACAGACAAAACTCTAATTTTATTTATATAGATAAAACATACTTACACCATGCAAAGTTGAACCTGTTTGAAGAATGACCCTGGGTCAGCTGATAAAATTAAGCAACCTTTCTTCTTTCTCCTTATCAGCTGTTTATAATAGCTTTGGTCACTGAATACAGTACCCAACATACTTTGTTGGGTAAATAAACATATAATTTTATGGCAGCAATCCTAACCAAATCAGGTTACAAAATAAGCAGTATCACATGAAATATCAAATTTTAGAACATTTTAAATTGGAGATGACACTATTAACAATAAGCTTTTACAATTTAAAAGAATGATAAACAATTGATATTTTAAAAATTAAATCACATCATTTTATGAAATAAATGTAAAAGGTTAGTTACAATTAATTTAGGCTAATAAGAGATAAACAAACTACAATAATGGTCTAATGATATAAACAAATTCAAATTTAAAAAATGCAAGAACGTACTTAATATTTTTACACTTGATATTTTAAGTAATTTGTCACAATTACATATTCATGCAACCTTAATTATTTAGTAACACGTAACCAAAATACAAATCTTTGTGGTTGTAAGTGAAAATTAATTTATTTTTATCATACTTTAATACTTTTATTGAAATAGCGGCCATACCAATGTAGGTATTTTAAGCCAAGTATGAATGGAGATGAGTGTGGGATGAGTGGCGCGGTCTTGTAGTCTTGTTAGTGACTAAGGCCGACATGCTCCTTAGACACAGCTGGTAATTAATAGCCCAAAAAGCCAATGGCAACTAAGGGACCTACAGTTTATAGTGCAATACGAACCACATTTTTGCCTTGTAATTAACGAACTGGTCTAAATATCAGGATAGTACTGCAGATCGTCATAGTACTCACTATGGTGGACGTTAATCCACACCAGGGAGTATCGCATCCACAGTGCATGCCTATAAACCACAACTCGTGACCTCCTATTAGCTGCATTACAGGACCACGCCACCGTCCCAGTACAGTAGACTCCCTGTTCCGGACTCTTTGGAACTGAAGGTCAGTCCAGAAAATGGTTTCTCTGGTTTAACAAAACTAGTAACTCCTACAATAAGAGTATGTTTCAGTACTGATCACTTCCTGCCGATCCAGTTAGGTTAAACCAATGTGCTGATAAAAATTGTCTGGTTCAAGAAATGTCACTCTGCAAAGTGTAGTCCGGTAAAACCGATGTCCCACGTGTATGCATAAGTTTCTTCACGCAAGAAATTTGATATTGTGGGAGCGTTAATTCCTCAAATCAGCTGTTCTGATAATTCCAACAGTCAAGCCAAATTGAGCGTATGTAGCAGGATTTATATAAAAATTTTTTGGATTTAAATGAAATCACACAGATGTATAAAACTATTTTTATTTACATTCAACCGACATCAGAAGGTCCTGCAGTTAGAGTATTTGTTTCTTTTTTGTGGTTATTCCTACTTTCTGGTTCATTAAGTTTATTCTCCACTCTTTTGTCTCTCTTCTCCACATCCTGGTCTCTCCTAGGACCTCTTTCTTTTCTCTCTGGTTCCCGATCTTTTCTCTTTTGAGTTTTAGTTCTATTAGAGCGAAGACCAAATGATTCAAATTTGTCACCGTCTATTCTTCTTCGTTGAGGCTTGTTCTGATGTCTCGGTGTGTCTCTCTTTTGGTTCAAGTCAGCCAAGGGCCCTTGATAGCTGAAACAGACAAAATATTAAATATTTTAGGTCAATGTTGCTGATATGCATATCACAAATATATTTTAACCATTAGCTTTGTTGTATTATTTAATAAGAAAGTATTAAATGATCTTTTCCTACAGTCACCCGACAAAGTTGGCTTTCTTGTACTGTTTATAGTACAGAAAGCTGCTAATTGCTGCATATTTATACTTTGTCGTACGGTTTATACTTTTGCGCACATCATGGTTCTATTATGCACGAAATCCGTGTACACTTGGAAATAGGTTGGCAACACTTAAAGATAATAATACTATGAGCAGCTGATTGACTATTATAACTACGATTTAACCTGTCATTTTGTGTTTATAGTTTCGGTATTTCTGAACTTTCTAGACTTTTCTTTTAAACATTTTTAAAACATTCCTACGATCTTAATAAACAAGAAAATACCTTTAAAGCATTTTTTTAGGCGAGAAAACAACTTCAAATTACAAAAACATACGGAACTATATTCTCAAGTCGCGGAGCACATTTCTTGCCGAGGAAAAATAGCGGAGTGATACGGACCGGGTACTACTTTCTTTAGGGCACCTAATTGTGTTGCCAGCTGAACCTAAAAACGTGTTGTATAGTGTTTGAAAGAGTAATTATTTATATACTTTATAGTGACTGTAGGATAATATAATGTGTAACACGAGTGCAAAAGGCCTTTGCTGCACTCGAGATCATTCCGCACGAGCCGCAGGCGAGTGCGTAAACGTTGCTCTCGTGTGCAGCAAAGTGCCACTTTGCCTACTAGTTACACAAATAACTATTGTAGTATGGTAGTGAACCGAACATGTTTGAGTACCAGCAAAATAGTAGTTTGACAGCAAGACACTATAAGCTTGTACAACCGTTGATACTTGTGTGAAAATATGAATTTAACTAACATTAGCATTCGTTACAAGTAAGTTTAATTTCTTATATATGTTTTTAGAAGAATAAATGTTTTCTAAACTATTTTTTTATGAAAAATTTGGTTGTTTCCTACTGTAATTAAAGAGATTGATAAGTTAACATATTTTTTTTATTATTTGATGGTTTGTCAAACTGAAGAAAAAGGCAGAGTTTAAGAATTTGAATATTTTTATAGCAAGACCTATCTTGATCTTAAGAGATTTTGCTACCTTGACAATACTAGCAGTTGCCCCACTTCAGGTAAAAGGGCCTGACTACCATTGCAGAATTTGGGCAACAAATATGCTAGTTTTCACACTCATCAGAGACGACCCCTTGTTAACTAAGATAAAACGCAGATTATCTGTGTAGCTTACCCAGGCTGAGAAGTATCCACTGGGTCTTTACTCAGCAGGATATGAATGGTCGGAAGATCACGAGTCACCACCAAAGGATCCAAATCTTCTATCAAAGGGTCCCAATACTCCTTCACTCTAAAATTAAACCAGTTCAAGATTGAACAATATCTGACGCAAAACAAATTAACACTTGCTGTAAATTATGGTACTGTTCGAAACAAGGAATAGCCTTTAATGTTAATATCTTCAAATCATGAAAAGTCTGAGTGACCCTAAGAGTATCCCATGATCCACAGTCTTGGATACGTGACACAGCCCACAGTCTGTTGTGATACATCCAAGGTCTCTGCAATGCAGTTTAGGCCTATCATTGTTACCCTATTTCATTTTCAGTGTTTTGTTATTTTCAATACTGCGCACAATGGATGTGAAAAATTGTTTAAACTCTTTTAATGGCAAAAAGTGAAATTTCCTGCTTTACATTCCTTTGTACAGTACTCTTGACCGATAATAAAAAGTATTTTCTTTCAATTTCACGTTTTAGTGTAGTCCCTCTCAATTAGTTATAGCAAAAAGAACAATTTACTTTCGAAAACATATTCTGTTGACTTGGTGGAAGGTGTGGTGCCTCTTGATGATTTCCACACAGCTGATGACCTTGCCGACTGCGGCACCCGACCCCGACCACACAACAACTCTCCTCGTTTTCATTTCAGCAATGGCATAGTCGAGCACATTTCTCATCTTTGTCCCTGGGTTTACCTGAAAATACAAAAGTTGCATTATCAAAATATTATTTAAAAAATTGATTTCATAACTGCTGGTAGCCTATAAGATTTTAAATTCAACAAAAATGGCTGTAAACCATGCCCATTAAGGCTTTAAGGCCTGGGAATTAAGTTACTACGCTTTGTATTTACTAGGGTTGTTAGTTCTGTAGTGTGGACCATTAGGTTTGATCAAAGCAGGGCTAGCATAAGGACCATGTGGCTACTGCCAGAGAGAGGGCGCTGACAAGTGGGCATCAGCGGTGGTGAAGCGTCCATGGCTTCTCCATTTTTGTAAAAAGCCTTTTGGGGCAAAATGAATAAATTGATATACATGGTCACCTTTGAAGGAATGGCCTGTTTCAGTTTACAAACTACAGACAAATTAATCAGAAAAATCAGTAGGCCTATGGAGGCAATAGGATTGCTTCGACTCAAGACAAGTTCTGGAGTGAAGACCTACAGTCATAAGGTCAATATGGAAACAAAATGTAAATGAAAAACAAGACTGAAGTACCTACTACATAACCTCAGGAATAAAGTAGGCTTGTAGAGGCAAAAATAGGCAAAAATAGAGTTGTTAAAAGAGCAAAACAACCAACTCCTGTTTAAATAGTACAACATGAACGTAAGGTGTACATAAGGTGAGCGTAGAAAATCCTTATAAAATCGTAGTCTTTTGATAACGACCGTCATCTTTGCAGAAGTCAAATCACCCTGAGGATAGTACCTTACATTGAGGCCAAAACGTCGGTGTAGAATAGTGTTTTGAGGAGTTGGAGTCTGATGTCGACTACTATTCAATGAAGGTGACTGTGGAAATTGATCCAGGAACATTAATCCGTATAAAAGTTATAAAATATTACAAGCTTTCATAACAGATAAAATACTAAGAAATTAGATCTCACATGCATCCAAAGGAAGTCCTCTGGAAGATTGCTGATCGGTATCAAGTGTTTTTCCCAGGGTTCCTCTTCATTTCTTCCTTTCTTGTACTTGTCCATCCTACAAACAAATAAAAGTTCTGATTTCCATTAAATGTACCAGTATTGAATTCCAAAAGTTTTATAACAATGCTTTAAAGTCCTTTAAAAAATATGGTACTTTGGGCGTTTTAATGAAGTGTCAAAATTAAAGTATGTTGACAAAGGGTATATTTTCATGAGGGAAAATAAGTTAATAGTTTTTACTTCAGGATTTTTTTTACAAGTTGCCATAAGATAATTGATTTTTCTTGATTAAGTAACCAATGAAAAATGTTCCAGAACATACCAAAATGGTTTTACAGTATTACCAGGGTATTTCAATCTAAATGATTAAAATAGATAGGTAGCCTACTATGTTGGATTTATTATGAGGTCACATAAGTTTTTAAGTTGTTTAAAACTTAGGCCTACATTTAGTTTAAATTTTTGTTTCCCGTGTTTTTCATTTTCAAAATTAATAAGTTAAGTACTTAGGTGAAAATAACTTTCCTCTTTGATATTGGTGAGAACACAAACTTAGAAGTATAGTACCGGTATTTAAAATTTTATTTTACTGCAGAAGTGACAAAAACAATGGCTACATAGCATCACTCATTTATCTCACAAAAATACATTTTATGGATACAATCTAAAATCAGTGTTAAGCTAGGCATAACTTATATTTTTTTAATAATGCAACTTTTGCTGGTAGCCTGTAAGTCCGAACCTGTAGGCCTAGTCCTAAATAAGTATTATCGGAATAAAAAATATCCTGGATGGGGTAAGTTAAGTAATACCGGTAACTTAAGTTATGCTTTGCTAAGGGTATTTGCATAATATATTGTAGGTTCTCTGTGGAACTGTACAAATTTAGACAATTTAGTGGACTACAAAAATTTATTGATAAGGTTTTCTTGAAAAATCTTTTTAGTGTGGAAGAAACAATTTGCTTACTTATTCTCGATGGTTGGGACTTTAAAAACTGATCATGTCACTTATCAATTACGTATAAATAAGACAATAATTGTCTATAAGCTAATTTAAGAAAAAGTGTTTCCTATCCTGACCTACACTAAAGGCCTTCCCACCTGGCCCATGACAAGCCTAGCCTAGTCTAATAGGCAAATAAAGTTTGCCAAGGGTTCCATTTTCTGGAATTCATTTTTTTATATAAATATTTTGATGGTTTTATCAAATTAAATAAGACGAAATAATGAGAATGTGGAAAAACCTACCGTTACTTTAAAACTGTAGTATATTTTCAATATTTAGTTTATAAATTGAAATTTTAGGTTATATTAATAAACACTGTTGACGACACGACACAACCACGCGCAAAAAACGTCAGTAAACTACTTTTTACAGAGAAACGCTTCCTAAATCTTTACCTATGTAGCTGTGTCGTTTTAGATCTCGCGGCTGATTAGGCTAAAGTAAAATTTAAACATAGATTAATATGTGCCAATACTGCCAATTCAAAATTAATAAAGTCCAAATACAATATATCTATATATTTACTTTGAAATTTATTAATTTTGAATTGACAGTATTGGCACATATTAAATCTATGGTTTAGGATTGAGTCGTATTGGATAGTGCTCTCATACAACAATAATATACAGTACTATGATTCTATGATAGTATACCTATTATTGTTGTATGAGAGCACTATAATTGTCTGATGCTCAGGGAATGGGTGAAGTCAAGACAATATCATTAGTGGTCGGCTGTAGTGATTTTCAGTCTTAGTTAACTAATTAAAACCGTCACATAAAAGCCCGATGACGAATGGGTCAAGTTTCAAATCGCCAAAATAATATCATACGTTAATTCCAATAATTTGAAGTTTGTATGCATTTGCTCTAATGACAAAAAGTTGATTTTGAATTTTTATTGTCTGTGTTCTTTGTGTGGTCGTTATATTGTTTGTGAACGTATGGATACCAAATATCTGCCCATCTTTGAAAGTCTGGCCATTAATCTGGTGTGGTGTAGCCTAAGTAAACATTTTATTTTACTGTACCATTAAATGAGAGTGACATATGACAACATGTCATTTATTTAAACACAAGTTTGTGTACAATATGGTTTGGTGGTAAATTTTACCCCCAAGACGTAATTACTCCCTCCGAAGAACTAAATTGATTATGAGTAACACTGTTTATCATGATATGATTAAATTACCGTCGAATAATTGCCTATAGGATTATATTTTCATTTTTTGTGAAATTTTTAATGCACATTGATATTTTTACGTATAGCACTATATTATTTTTAAATCTTATTTACAAGGAATGGAAATATACAAAAAATGAAAATCTAAAAGTTTCAATAAACTTAACATTAAAAACTTGTTTACATAAAAAATCACCTAATATTTTAGGGCAAGCGCATATTGTTCTCACGATTAAAACTATGTATACTCTGCCTGTAAAGAATACAAAAGATAAAAAGATTGAGACAGGATTAATAACGATAGACCGGCGTTTGATTAGCATGTAGAGCAAAGTACTGTATAATGGAAAGTGAAACTCAAACCGGATCATATCGAAATCCACTGCTTGAACTGCAAACAGGCAGACGCTTTCGGCCGGCTTTCATGATCAGCTGACCTTGACTTGGGCTGTGAGGGAAGTGGAAGTGACCAAGACCGGGCCTCAACTTGATTCTTGATTTGGAATTGGGAGACAAGAGACAGTCTAGGCTACTGCAGTGTGCGACCAGACGACGAAGACTATCACATTGGCCATGTCGTCCAAGAAAGTTATAAATTTCGGAGCCGGGCCTGGAAAACTACCTGAAGAAGTAAGTATTGTTCATTGTTTTAAATTGTACCCACATATACTTGGGATGCAGATTAACATTTTTTCTGTTAGGGAAAGGATGGTAAACACTTTTTGTTGTTTTTACCGACTTTAATAGTAAATTATTTTTTACTATAACTCAACTTTTTTTAAGCTCTGTGTACTTTTTATACTTCTGTATTATTAAATTTGAAATAATCATGACCCATCAATAATGTCCAAGCCTCAATTAAAAACAGTAAAAATGTGTAATGAAGAAAATAAACCCCTAAACAAATTGTACACCAAGTATATTTTAAAAAATATGAATTATAAATAGGGTAAATGTATAAATTATCAATTGTAATCCAATAATGTCATAGCAATCTGTACTATTTATTTACCTTGCTTTGTTATATTTCATTTTATACCACATTTTGCAATTTAAATTAAATTAACATTTTTATTTAATTTAACACATTTAGTGGAAATAGCTACACACAAACAAGCTATAATAATTACCTTAATAATAAAGGGTAGTGTAATTTTAAGCCTTTATTTTTCATGTAAATTAAATAAAGAAACCAATATAGATAGACATTGTACCATATTTAGTATTTTTTCAAGTTAATTTTAAAAATTCATACAGAATTTAATATATAAATTAGTTACATAAGACAGTTGAGCAAACTACAGGAAAAAACCAGATCTTTGTCAGAACAAGCAAATTTAAAAATCATGTTAAGTTTTGCTGGGATGAGTCTAGGGCAATCCAAGCGTTTTGATTGGCTAATAGTTTTGGTGGGAACATCCCCTCCTCACAGCCCCATGTGCAGTAGGAAATTTCTTCATTCTTAGTTCAAAGCTTGAACAAGTCTCATCTGTCTTCACATCACCCTCAAATCAGAGGGTTGACGTTATCATGGGCAAAATTCCCTAAAAAACAATTTTATTAGCTTTTCTATTAAATTAAATTTAAAGCGATGTGTGCTCTGGTTTTTGTTTTATATATTAAAATTTTGAAAGGTACTTCTCTCTCCAAATATACTTAAGATTTCCTAATTATACTTGTACTTCCTAAATAATTGTACTTTTGATGTGTTGGTCAAAGGATTGTGTCGAAATGCCTTTAATTGTTTGTTAAATAAATTCAACTTTTGTAAGACATGTGTTGTATATTTTCCATACCAAGAAATAGAAATAAAAAATTAAATATGTCATGGTACAACATGTAAACTCAATTTTATGGAAATATTTATTTTAGCAGAATTCTTTTATTGATCTGTAAAATTATGTAATTTGATGATTTATTAAAAGTTAGTGTAAATTTGTATGTTAAGATTTTTATAAGGATGATTTCCACTGAACCTACAAATAATATTGAGATTGTATAATTTAATGACATTAATTAGTAAAACTTTATACTGAACAAACAAATCTTAAATTTCAGTAGTATCAGTCACAGCCCTTGAAAAACACATTATGTCAGCTCAGATTGATGATAGCTTATCTCAACAACTGACCATCCAACCACAAGACATATCTCCATCTAATTAGTTTTATGATGTCAAGTTTATGTGACTAAGTTGCATCTAATGACTTCTTAGTAGTGACTTACTATTTTGGCAAAACAACAAATTAAAATAAACAGAACTACGCATATAATTAAATTTACCCAACTATACAATTTTCATACTGCACAGACAAAAGAATGATATAATTCAGAAATAATCGTTCATTATGTAAATAGCTTTACATAATTATCTTCTACAATATACATAACACAAAGAGGTTTTCCCTGTAATATTCCTTTTCCAGCCGTCCAACTTAACAGATTTTTATAATTGAAGTGTAATTTTAACGCTTACAATCTAGCGCACCTGCGAATGGTAGTTAAAAATGTTATTTCCTTTAGGGCTTTCAGATTTCACTCTTTATAGTGTAGATATAAAATCAAAAAATTTATTGTTAAATGTAGTTCTATTCACCTAATAACTGTTCTAAACAAACATAATCTTGAAAAGATAAATGGGGATTTTGCACTGGCTTCATTTTGCCTCGGAAACAAGTTTTAGACCATAAACTGTGCAATTTGCGCATGGGTTGCCTTGTATTTACCTTAAAACTAAAATTCATTTACTATGCTTTATTTTTTCAACAAAGTGTCATGGGGTTGAGTTCTGGGAATTATTATATGACGTTAACTTCCATCAAACTCATTGCTTTTGTGACGGAACTCTCAACCCGTACTTGCGCTACCACCGTGCACCCCCCTGCGCTACCACCGTGCACCCCCCTGCGCTACCACCGTGCACCCCCCACGTGCCACTGCGCTACCGTGTTATCCTAGTGATGTGAAAAACAACAGTGACTCACAAACACTTGTAAGTAGTAGGAAGTTTTACATTTACACCTTAGGCAAAATATGCATCAATGAATAATTTCAATGAATTGGACTTCAAAAACACAAGGCAACCAAAAAGATAAATGGTAACAATACTGAGCTTTATTTGTAAACAGGTAATGTTGGAGGTCCAGAGAGAGTTTGTGGAGTATGGCGACTCGGGAATTAGCGTGGTTGAGATGAGTCATCGATCCCAGGAATACGAAGCCATCAACAACTCTGCTCAGAGACTCGTACGAGAATTGCTGTGAGTAATAACGTTGGTTACAAACAAAAATAAAAGTTTTGTAAATTCTTCGTAACTTCTTAAAGTTGTAAAACCTCTTCAATCCTGATTAGTTCTAGCAAAAACACAATTTTCCCCCCGTTTTTAAACTATCATCACAAATATAAAAAATACTTAACCAACAAAAGTTAAAACGCCAAAATCTACCGAAGATGTGAAAGTGAGACTTGTTCAATCAGTCACTGGTTTGGTAATACAACTGAGACAGAGGGGTAGCATATATAGATGTATGTAGGAAGGAGTCGATAAACTCTGTGGTACGCAGCACGCTATAAGAAAGTGTGTTTGATTGCTATGGCTAAAGCACATAGATCTTCTGAGAACAGGCATAGGCGGCAAAAGAGTTTGCATCAAAATATCTGCTAAGATGTAGAGTTATACCGCACAGAAATAGTATGCGGCTTTTTGGTACTTTATTATCCAAAGGGAGAGTAGCATAAGGTTGAATATGTGAACATGAGGTGTAATCAAGAATCTAATGTTATTTGTTAAACCCTAAATGAAAGAATATTTAATTAAGTTTCTTGGAAGCTAACAACATAATGTTATTAGTGTAGGCGGTGTTTTCAGATCTGAATGTACGTACATAGTCCACTAAAACTAGA